CTTTTTTTTTTTTACCCAACTACGATGCATGCGGTTTGAGTCTAAAAGAATATGTTGATAGCTTGATCAATATTCCATATTTGCTTCCTTCCTCTCAATTTGTTGATGATATTTTTCAACTACATGATCAAATTTTTTGAAATTCCTTGGTATTAATGTTGAGGTGATCAACGTCTCAATTTAAAGATATAATCATCTAATAAAGCACTAAGCATAGATGGGTAGCTAAGCAATAGCTAAAAACTATAAATGACTTCTATATCAACCTGTTTTTATATAAGAATTTATAATTTTCAAAATTTTTAAAAAATACAAATCTTTTTTTCAATTAGTGGGTTAGCCCGTGAATTCACTGCGACTTAGTAGTTTGGTCCATCCACCAACTTGCAAACTGGGAATGGACGTGGGTTGACCCATATTAATGGTTCTAGAATTTTTGATAAGTCTGTTTTTTTTTTTTTCAAAAAAAAAAAGGTGGCATGTGGGGTTAACTCAACGAGATCTTCGGATAAGAGGGAGGCCGAGATCAGTTTTGTGAAGCGAGGGAGGCCGAGTCGGAGACGCGTGAGATCAAGATGACGAGATGGAGATGCCGATATCTGAGAGAAGTGAGGAGAGGGAGAGAGCACTGTGAGTCCATGACTGTGTGTGTTGAGCGTGACCGTAAAGATCCGAGAGGAGTGAGTTTTGGGATTTGGAATGGCTATGGTAAAATGAACGTGAAGTGGGAAGATCTTATCTGTTCATATTATCTAGCGGTAAGTTGGAGACGGATGCACACAAAAACTTATGATTTACAAAACCATACAAGCTTTTTTCAACAATAAAAAATTACCACACAATTTGATTCTTAAAAAACTATAAAAAATTTAACAATTTATTTTAAATATTAATGGCACCTATTCTACCTAATGAAACATGGTACCTATTATATCTAGCAAAAGATTTTTGCAGAATATTTAAAATTAATTTGTTTTGATTTTTCGTAATTTTTTGGATTTAAACTGTGAAGCACGTTTTTTATAGTTAAAATGAAAAAAAAAAGAATTTTTCGTTAGATAGAATAGGTGCGATTTTTGTAGAATATTTAAAATAAATTGTTAAGATTATTTTTGGCATTTTTCCATCAGTGTTGACAGAGCACCTTGATTAGGGTTTTCTTCTTGCTGAGCTAAAGCTATTCTTTTTAGGAATTAGGGAAGACAAAAAAAAAAAGAGAGAGAGAGAGAAACAGGCTTGGGCACATTTCTAAAATTTACTAGGGCTGCATTTTGAAGTCCCATTTTTTTATAAAATACTAATTTTTTTAAATTTAGACTCTTATAAATTTGAGTTTAAATGAGCAGTCCTTATTTTCAACTATACCTTCAGTTTCTTATATTGATTCTATACCCACTATATATTTTTTTTAATTCTAATTACTTAAAAATAAAGGACATATTAATGACACTCACCTGCATTTACTATAATTAATATTTAATCTACTGCTGTTCTACAGTGAACTCATTCATTTCATTTACTATGAGTAAAGATAAAGATTAAAGATAAATATTATTAGATCAAAGGATGGATGCCTAACATGATAAAATTAAATATAAAGAGCCGTTCAGTTAACAAGTAGTTAATGAATATCAGAGCGTCAGTTCATTTGCCAAATATCAGGTAGTTAACTCAGTTAATATAAACATAAGCCCATTAATTTATTAATTACATTACCAGGCAAGTGCAAAACATAAGATTTTAGAGAATACAATCACTTAAGTTTTGAAAGAGTAACAATTACCAAATTTCTTGCCCAGCAACAACACCACCTCACCCTTACATAGATTGACAGAGTTGCATCACGTTCAAAATCTGCAATGACAATATCAGATCAATCAATTTCACTCCATAAATAAAAACTTTATTGATACATAACAATTCTAAATCAGCACCTAAATAATTATATAATTACAAAGCCTCACAAATTACTTGAGAGATGCCTAGAAACACACATACCCACATGATATGCATGGAATTTAAGTCAAGCAAAAGAATAATTAGTAGCAGGCCGTGGAAGCCACAAGGCAAGTGAGGCAATTGCCTTATGCCTAAAAAAATATTAATACTCCTATTATATATGTGTGTAATTGATATTTATATTATTATATATTTAATTGTAGATGAAAAAGAATAAAAAATATTGATTGTTCTTCCTATCGAAAAGTTCCAACCATACTCTATATAATATTAATTATTGAACTGAGTTCATTATCTACATAACAAAAGAATAATGAGATCCATAATACATTAATTTGTATTACATTAGCTTGTTTTAAAGTCCTCTTATGATCTCACTTTTCGTTTTCTCCTTTTCTTATTCTAAAACTTAAAATATTAATAGATATTAATATCAAGATCTTGTATAATTTTAGACCATCAATACGGCACCTTCAAGCCTTATTAAAATATTGTTCATAATTTATATAATTATTATTAATTTTTTACACTAATCATTGATATTATTAGTCTTAATTATGTCTTTTTTGTTAAAAATGTATTGCCACCTCATATTAATGTTAATATTCTATTTCAATAAATAAGATGAGGTGGGAGCACTTGTCAATACTAATTTTTATTTAACTATTGATTGATTTAGTAATTTATTAATATCATTATATTACATAATTTTAATATATAATTTTGAAAAAAATTATGAGTGAATTTTTGTTTGTTTGTTTGAAGGGATAGTTGCACATGTTAGGGTTTACAAATAATTTTATCCCAAACCTCAAACTATCTTCACACAGCCCTGATTAGCCGGCAAATTGGAAGGAACAGAATGGGGTAAAAAAGGTGATGACGAAACATGTTTAACGTTTATTTAGGACATAAAGTTTGACGCCGCCATTGATGAAAGACATATTAAAATATAGGAACAGCCTAGTCAATATATATCAAAAAATACCGTAACTTAAAAAAGTTACTGACACAATGTAGAGACAACACAAGATACGAGGCTGTCCCGCCACTGCCCAAGGTGTCTAACAATGAGTCAGGATTGTCTAGAGTCGTGCGAGTGAGACAATATAATCAGGCAACTAGATAACCCTTTTTTTTTTTTTTTAAGATACGTGCATGAGTCTTGGTGGGATCCAATAATCCACGTGTAACGATTTAACGTGTCAATTTAACATTTCAAGAATCATAGGCCTCTTACTCTGTTCAATAACAATTACTCCAAGTTGTCAGTAGTTCGGACTTGAATTCTCCCTTTCCTGCACTCATTCCGTCTCTATATTTAAAGTATTTTTTAAAAATTAATTTTATTCGTATGAGTTTGAATTTCAATTAAGCATAATTTATTATAAAAAAGTAATTAATATAATTAATTTAACATGTAATTAATTATGTTATGTGGTATATAATTAATTTGTAAAACCGATTATTAAAATTAATTTTAATCATAAGTGAAAAGAAAAATTAAAATAAGGTAAAACCATATTTTTATAAAAATATATTGAAATACTCATGTTACATATTAAAATTAATTATAAATCTAAAATTATGTTTCAAAAAAAAATTTAAATATCCATCATATATGCCAAAATTAATTATGAACTCAAAACTATAGTTTTTCATAAGTTACTATTACTTGCTTTTCAATTATACATTTCTAAAAATTTATCCAAAAATCATATAAATTATTTTACAAATTATATTTTTAGGTTTATAATTGATTTTGACATAATAAGAGGTGTTTGGATATTATTAAGAAGATCATAGTTTTGGATTCATAATTGACTTTAACATATATAATGGATATTTGGATGTTTTTAAGAAAATGTGGTTTTGGACTCGCAATTAATTTTAACACGTAACACAGGTGTTTAGGTAATTTTTGCCAAGCTTCCATACAATTAAATAATTTTGAATGCAAATCCAAATAGGCACTTCTTAAATGTAAGAGGTTTCATGATATTTTTAAATAATTAAATAATTTTACTCTTATATCAAAAAAAGCTAAAAGATATTAATTGGGTACTTTATCCACCACCATCACAATATTAATTAAGATTATTGAAGATAAAATTAAAAAATTATTATAATTTAATGTAATTTTAACTTAATAATAAACTTTTATTGATAAGTAATATTCAAATAAAAATATTTTATATATAGAAACAGAAGGAGTAGTCTATGCCAACATTAATTAAAAATTTATTAAATTAGTAATATTCTTGCCAAATTGATGGTAATTAGAAATGCAAATAAATAATAATTACATGAATAAATAGTAAAATAAGAATACTTTTTCTCATGCACACACTAATTACACCCCAATATCATAAATTAGAAATATCAATTATGGTGCTTGAATTTTGAAATGACGTTGAGAGCGTGAAGACTTTAATTTTTAACTAGCTTTCAGTATCGGTTCCGTGGTGAAAGTTAAATCATGACAATGATTAGAGTGTTTCCTTTTTTTTATAGACGGAACAGTGTATTCTAAGCATTTATTACAGGATTGGATGAAATTTGGGTCATAGGCTGTCTCTAGCCATGAAGTGGGCAACCTTGTTTTCAACTAACGACATGATTTCTCATTTGACCTCAAGTCAATTACTTAGCTTTCATCACCTAAATCTTACAAATAGACAGTTTGACAATTTATGCTATTCTCCAATCTCCATTGATTAATCTACCGAACTTCAAAATATTTTATCAGCAGTTTAAGTGCACTACGGGGGAGGAATGCATTGTACAATACAAAACTATGTTATTGTCAATCCTGTGAAGGTCAGACCATTGGGAAAAATAATAGGGAGTCCTTGTCACACAATATATTTTTCGCTACCAAAAAAAAAATTTCACAACGAGATTGTAAGCCTGGACTTATCTTTTGAGCCCGAAGAATGGGCCAAGGGCATGGCCCATTAGATGAAAGCTAACGTCTTTGATTTATCTATCTCAGGGCCGAAAAAGGAAATTAAAAAAAAAAAATTGGCTTGTAGGCGTGGCCTCTTTCTTCCCTCCATTCACGGTCCACCTCAATCTGATTCTCCAGAATTCCAATTGACAGAAAATCTCCGACTTGAAACTCCGACGGACAGTGAGGTCGCCGATGTTGCCGTGGAGGATTTTGGTTGTCCCAGAATCTCAGTGTTTACAACTGCCCTCACTTGACAATTGGTTTGGAATGCATTGGCAATCAAGTTGGAGTTTAGAGTTTTGACGCCTGCGCCCTCCTCGAATTCCACCAATTGTTCGAAACTGTCGGGTCCGTTAACTATTGTTTGCTTTCGAAAGTAGCTACTGAAAACCAGAATCATGTGGTCGAGTGTGATTTAGGCTGGCGGCTTTTTTGGTTTTTCTATGACGGGTTCAGATGGTTTGGATTTAGATTTGCCAGAAGGAGATGAAAGGTGAACTGAATGGTTTGAAGGTGCAATGACTGGAGAGTCATTGGGTCTTCGGACAGGGAGCAATGGATTTCTGCAACAGCTGCAGAATGGGGTCACCTCCCAGATTCATACAGGACCTGCACTTGTGCGCAGACCTTCAAAGACGCTTCTTCATTCTAGAGAGAAAGAAAGGCTCTGCCCTTTTGTATGCCGACTTCTTGGTCGACGGAAGGTGGCAGTGCTGCTGATGGTTGCCCTCGCTCTTTTTGTTTTCGTATTTGGTTCCCTTACTTCTGAAAAAGGTTAGTATTCCTGCTTCTTGTCCATGTCCATGAAACTTTGTCATCTTTAACTTTGAATAGGATTTGTGTGATCGATGAACCAACTTAGGCATAGCATAGTTCTTGAGTGTTGGTAATATTCTTCTTTAGCGGATAATATTTCTGTCAATTAGATAGATCGTCATAATTATTTCTCCGTTCTACCATTTCCTGTAAAACTGCAACTATATTGGTTGGTGCATATTTTGAAATGCCATGTTTTGACTTGAGACTTCCTGTCTCTTCTTTTCATGTGTTTAACTAAGAAAGCTTTATATTATATGCAGCTTTGAGTTTGTGTATTATGGTGTGCTTTTTGTGTTGTTATGAACTAGGTGCAGACATCATTAGAGAAATTCAAGACTCGCAATATTATGCCTTGTCTCGTTATGAAGTTTTAAATCCTCTTGAATTGGAAGAAAAGCAGCAGGCTAGAAATTATTCTAGTGGAAGTTCCTCTCCCAGAACACGTAAAACTACGATAAGGCCTCCTTCTCCACCCTCTTCTTCTCACTCAACAGGTAGAATGGGACAGTTTCCTACGTTGGGGCATCCATGCGATCATTTTGCAATTCCTCCTCCACCACCGAGTGATAGGAGACGACCTGGACCACGGCGTAAGTTTGAATTTTCTTCTTAAGTTTTATTTTCGATTATGAACTTAAATTTAAAACATAATATCTATCTTGGGTTTTATCTTTTTCAATGATCTGATGCGAAATATACCAACAATTAATAGTGCATAGCATTGAGAATTCTGTTGATCAGGTTCCTTAATTCTATTTCAGCATGTCCTGTGTGTTATGTTCCAGTGGAGCAAGCTATTGCTAGTATGCCAAGATTTCCATCGGCATCACCTGTGCTTCGCACTTTAACATATGTGCATGATGAAAATCCGGTTAATATTGAATCACACGGTGGCTCTGATTTTGGTGGATACCCTTCTCTGGAAGATAGGGATGCTGCCTTTGACATAAAAGAGACTATGACAGTGCATTGTGGGTTAGTTCGTTTTTGATTTTGTTAAATGATTTTTTTTGGGGTGCATTGTGAAGTTTTATAATCCTAAAAGGATTCATGAAATCTCATTGCCCACTTTTGTGTTCAGAAATTATTTCCCCCCCTCCTATGAGATGCAACTTCGCTCCCCCTTTTCTTGCATTTTCATGTCTGGCATAAACTCTTTACCAGATTTGTGAAAGGTAGCAGACCTGGTCACCAGACTGGATTTGATATTGATGAGGCTGATATATTGATGTTGGATGAGTACCATGACATCATTGTTGCATCTGGCATATTTGGTATGACTGATGTATTCTGTATGCTCTCTTCACTTGGTTGCTTGCTACTTCTCATAGTTTCACCTTTGGCAGGAAATTATGATGTTATACAGCAGCCAAAGAACATCAGTAAGGAAGCCAAGAAACATATTCCGTTCTATATGTTCATTGATGAAGAAACGGAAATATATATGAAGAACGCAAGTATATTGGGTAGTAGCAAGAGGGTTGGGTTGTGGAGGATCATTGTCATCCGCAATGTTCCTTATGCTGATGGTCGGCGTAATGGAAAGGTTGATTGCATGTTTTTCATTCTTTTTTCTAATTGGTATGAAATCTGAGTCACAGTTCATCAGAATATTCTGCATTTTCTATAATTTCTATGAATTGTTATCTTTTTAATTTGTTAAACCCAACAGTTTCTTTCTTTTGTCTTGACTTTCTCCCATGTTACACCACAACCTTGTTCTAGGAAATGGATGTGCTAGCAAACCCTAACAACTTTGCTATCATAACTCATTGTTAATCAAGTTGGGGGTATGATTTTCCTTTCCTTGTTATATGCTGACTTCATTTAGGGATTCTTTGCTATGTACTTTACTGGATATGGAAAAGGCTATAATGGTGGCAGTAATGTTAAGAAGCTACGAACCAGCAGCGTTACATGAAGGTCACTGTCCCCCCACAAACACACACACACAAACACCAAAAAAAAAAAAAAATTGAAATAGAATAATGTGATCTGAAAATCATTGAGGCTGAATTCTGATTCTTGGTTACTCCTTTTTTTGTCCACTCGCAGTTGTTTAGTTGATAATTTATTGTGTGTGGTTGGTGTATGATCAATTAGTGGTTCCAAAGTAATCAGCCCGTTTATATGCTAAAGTTTGTGACACTGAAATTCTGGGGAACAAAATTTGCAGCGAATAGTTGTTTTGCTGCTTGGGTTTCAAACATCAAAGTTACAGTGTAGTTTTGAGCCTTGACCTGTTTAGACTTTGATGAATATAAGATTTAATGCAATTTGGGTATGTTGTTCTCTCTGTTTGATGATGTTTCATGGTGCTTCTATGTGGTTGCAGCTGCTTCATAAAATCTGTTGTCTGCAGGGAAGTGGAAGGGATTGCATCATGAAAATGAAGATTTTTTTTTTTAAAGCACTATGGTTGTATATATGTTGACCTCATATGTATTTGTTGCAGATTCCAAAGCTGCTTTTGCACAGGATTTTTCCTAATGTCAGATATTCAATATGGATTGATGGGAAACTCCAGCTTGTTGTGGACCCGTACCAAATTCTTGAGAGGTGCCCCCCCCAAAGGCCGGGTTTATTTACTTCCTCTATAGTTTTCATGCCTTTGATCCATGGAGTGGGATTAACTTTTCTGTGTTCTTATTTGGTAGTGATGGCCCATTCATTAATGATATAACAGGCTTGATTTTTACTATCCTCAAGTTTATTACATATACTGGATATGCTAAAAGTTGATCGTGAAGGGGAATGGAAAATGAGTGAAAATGTGATGAAAAAAGGTCTTGAAAGTAAAAGAAATGAAAACATCAAAGGATTGAATTTGTAAGTGAACTACTCATTCTCCTCAGAATGAAATATAGTAGTGTGTAAACCACGTATACTGACAGGACCTCTATCAGGTTGCCTGCAGGCTTCAATTGTGGTCAAAGATTGTTAAATTTTAATAAGGCCCTCTATCGCAATATAACTCATTTTGAACTTACTGCTGCATGCTGTAAATTTTATTTCATAGGCTATGGTTTTTCCATAGTTTTGAACATTGGTGGACATATGTGTGTAGTACTTTAATCATTCCCCTTTATTTAACGATAAAATAGATGTAGATGTTTGTATATTTTGATCTTTAGTTGTACTGCTTTTTGTATTATCCAGGTTCTTGTGGCGAACAAATTCTACTTTTGCCATTTCAAGACACTATAGACGCTTTGATGTCTTTGTTGAGGCTGAGGCTAATAAAGCTGCTGGGAAATATGAAAATGCTTCCATTGATCAACAAATTCAATTTTATCGAAATCACGATGGTTTAACTCATTATTCAAGGGCTAAGCTTCCAATAACTAGTGGTAGGTGCAAGATTGATTCATACATGTTTGCAACATGATGTATCAAGATGTGCGTTGTTGTATGTTTGCTGTTTCCCTTTAAAATTCAACCTGTCATTAGTGTCTGACTTTTTGCAGATGTTCCAGAAGGTTGTGTTCTCATAAAAGAACATGTTCCTATTACAGATTTGTTTACCTGCCTATGGTTCAATGAAGTCGATCGCTTTACTTCTAGGGATCAGTTAAGCTTTTCTACTGTAAGGGACAAAATAATGGCAAAAGTTGATTGGGGGGTGAATATGTTCATGGACTGTGAGAGGCGCAACTTTGTGATACAGGTTAGTATTTGAATGGCTTACATGCTTCCCTGTATTACCAATTATACATGTGAGATTGTAAGCTGTCCAGGATATTATCCCTTTTATCTTTTGGCTACAAGTGAGGAATAAAAGATGATAACATCAGGGTGATCATATAATTTCTTGGTAAATGCACCTTTAAAAGGAGAATTTTTGCTTTGACATAAATATTCTATTGTCGAGCTCAAACGCATTAAATCATTTTTCCCACACATAAGCTGGTGCCATGAGTTAAATATGTTGTGTAGTTGAACAGTTTGAAACTTTTGAATGCATTTAACTAATTAGGTTAAGTTCTGTACGTGTCTTCAATTCTGAAACTAATCAACCTTGTGTTGTTGATTCCTTATAATTAATTTCAGACTTATCATAGAGATTTGCTAGAGCATATGCCTCCTCCAGCACCTCCAGTTCGTCGGCTACCTTCTCGCAGTCCACCTACTCCTCCCCATATGAACAAGTTTCATGCAAAGAAGAGTCAGAAGCGCACGAGAGGAGACAGGAGATCAAGCTCAAAGCATCACCGCAAAGTAGGAATTGTTAATGTATAATCCACAATTTTAGTGTTTTGCTCTTCTTTTCCCCCTTTTTTTAATTGTAAATTTCATTCTTTCCTGACGTATATCACCATTTTAAAAATGTTGATACCCGTTCTTTTTAAATGGTAAATATGCCTCATCTTTGGCAAGTTTCTGGGTAACTTCTCGAATTGAAAAGGAGGGTTTTCGAATGATCACTAATCTGTTTTCCACTGATGAGTTAATTTTGCTCCTCAAACTATGTATGATGTATTGCTGTATCTGTTGTGCATGTTTGACTGAAAGGACGATTTTGTGTGTTTTTCCTGTGGTTGAAAGAGATGAGATTTTTTTTTCCTTTTTGGTGGTTACAGAAAGAAATGAGAATTTGGCAATGGAATTTGCTGTCTGTGCTTTCCATGTGTCTCAGTTGTACAGCCATAAAACACTCGAACAGCACTCACAATTATTTTTTTTTAATATTACGTAGTATCATGTTCATGTATGTTTTATATGCATGAACATGAGGCAGTATTTAGATATTGTATGTATATATGTATGTATATAGCCGTTTGTTTTGAAATTGCAACGTCTTTATTTGGGTGAGGCCAGCCTCTGGAGATCCATCCGAAAGGAACCTTGCCGGTGGTGGCTTGGTCTCTACTCCTCTAATGACATCTTCATTTCTTTAATTTGGTTTGAACTTTGATCGTACATCAGAGCAGGCCTCAACTCATTCTGTCAAGGCTTGTTCTTTAACAGAATAAATTCTCATTCTTATGATAGGTCAAAATCAATGATAGTAACATGTTAAAATTTGCTCTCTCGTATTCTCATAAATAGAAGAAAATTGTACGAGTTAATCATTTGCAAAATCAATCTTACGATTATTTACATGATCAGCATCAACCTTCTAATATAATTTAAGAGTAAGCATTATGTAGAATTTTAAATTTTTTTTTTCCGGCCCTCGTGTAAACTGCAAATTGATTTTTGGAGTATTTGGTACGTATAACAAAAAGTCAACAGTCACAGACAAGACAAAGCTTGGGTTTTGATTCTCTACCATCATTTTTTTTATTGGGCACAAGTGGTTTGTTTATAGGAGACAATCCTATTTCAGACATCAGCTTTTCAAATAGGAATTCAAATTTAATTGTCACATTACGAAAAATTAATTTTTTCTATGAAATCTAATTTTTATTGATTTTTCCATCATCTTTTTTATTATCTTTGTCCTTCATCTTACAAATGACACTTTACAAAAATTTATAAACATAAAGATTAGAAGAAGGCTCATTGATTTTGATAATATTTATGAGAGGATGTAAAGAGATGATAAGAAAACTGGTACTAAGAAATCCAAATCTGAACAATTTTTATGAAAAAAGTTAAAAACAAAAAAAAAAAATAGGCCACCATTAAAAAAGAAAGGGGAAAGAAAAAATGGTAAGAAAAAATCACAAGGAAAGGCGCAAAAGCTAGGCAAGAAATGAATAAAAATAATGAAATAAAATTTGATGAGGAGCACATTTAAACTAAGTTTTAACCTCGTGTAATACACCGGAACACTGAATCATAAAAGGATAACATAAATAAACTCAATAAATTCAAAAGTTAGATAAAAATGTTAAACTAATTCCAGCACATACAATTGTACATTTCACAATCAGCTTGACTTTTGGAGTTGCTATATTTCACATGTGAAGCTAAGCTTGAAAACAATGATTTTTTATTTAAATGGAAACCAAGTGTTCAATAACTCAATATTAATTTGCTTATTAGCTAATATTTTGATACATTTTATATAAAGAATTATCTATTTATATATATATATATTCAAAAAATTCATTTTTTTTGTTAAATGATAAAATTAGGAAAATAATTTAAAAAATCATGTTTTTTGAAATTCTAGACCACTGAAAGAAATACCCATCAAAAGAAAAATTATTGGGTGCACAATACAGTGAATACTTCATTCCTTAACTTTTGTACATATACCTCCTCCATCTATTATGAAGACCATCATTTTTCAAAAAAGAATTGAAGGAAGAAGTGCAGGCATGAAACGAGGAAAAGGCACGAGAAAAAAAGGAACATTCTAGAGACGTGGAAAAATAGGGAGGGAAGCTCAAATAACGTGGGATCGGACTAATATTATGTTTGGAAATTGAAGGTTTGAAAATTTACTGCAGAAAGAACAGTCGAATTGTACACCTGGAAAAAGAAGGAACTGAAGTAACCGATGTTATCTTTAGAAATGACAAGGCACGGATGGAAATCCATCGTAGAAGGAGCAGTGCAAGCAATAGAATGCAATTTACAAAATGTAAGATTTTGAAATGAATAAAATATTTCGTTACATTTTAAAATGCCCCAGTCCAGAAAAACAAACCCAACAGAAGGCTGAGCTTCGGTTGAAAAAGATACGAAGCTTAAACCACTCTTGTGTAAATAGCTTCTCTTTTGATAGTATACATTTGTCAAATTCTGCGAAATGTCTTGCACTGCTTTTGTACATTCTTCCCTTTGTCTTGCCACCGAACTGTATCACAATCAGAAGAGTTTTAATTTCTTCTATTTTATTTTGATTCAGTTTAAGTTCTTGATAAGGATCTGATCCATGGCTCTTGCATGACTGCTTCCAAGACACTGTTAAGAATTTGTCGCTCCTACGCTTCTCTTTTTTGTTTTTTAGCGGAAATGATGATCAGCTTGTGGTTCATAGATTTTTTTTTAAAAAAAAAAAATTGTAAGGAGGGTACAAGCCATGTGCAGGACAATTAAAAAATATGATGTATAGTTACACCTCATAGAATTTTGATTAGCAGCCTGCAGCATTATGAGCTTCTTTGTATGAATGATCAATCTCTACCTCATAGAATTTTCAAAACAGAAAAGTTTGCCCATCTTTTCTATGTTTTCATACTTGTACTCAAAATTAGCATTCTGTCCAATGGGTTAATTTATTTTTCTCTGATAACATGTCATAGTTTCAATTATTTGAACATTGTATCGGAATTTCTAAGCATTAGAATTTAGAAGAAATGATAGAATGTAATGGATGGTGATTTGTATATTTTCTAGCTTTACGGTCTGATTTTTCTTTCTAGGAATTGTGGTGCTCAGGCGATCCATTTTCAAGTGAAACGCTGTTGCAAGCGTCCTTATAAGCAGATGAGAATGGAAAATGATCTTAAGGGTAACATAAAATTAAATACAATGTAAAGGAATCTAGAGGGACCTTGGTTGTCCTAGAAGGCTTGGATCGTTCTGGGAAGTCTTCACAGTGCAGCAGACTGGTGACATACTTGGAGAGTCGAGGAATCTCTGCTGAATTATATGGAGATTTCCTGACGGAAATATGGGTGCATGTTGGTCGAATGATATCTTCCTATCTTGGTAACACGTCCCAGTTAAATGATCACACAATTCATCTCCTCTTTAGTGCAAATCGTTGGAAAAAGAGGTTGGCTATGTTTTTTTGAATGTCAGTAGTTTGAGACGCATTGTTTATAACTCATGAATAGTGCAACTTGTTTGAATATATTATATGTAGATTTTAATATGCAGCATGCACTATTTTTAATCTATGGATTTTTTGTTATGTGAATTCGATTATATTTTGTCATTAGTTTCCTTTGGTTAAAGCCCTTTTGTATCTATGTTTCATTCCATTAGTGAATTTTCCTCTCTAATCCATTTATGTGATATTCATATTGTTTCTCATTCGTCTGTTCTACTTCAATTAGAATGCGTTACTGCTGATCAAGTTATTTTAAATTAAATTTCAATTTCACCCCCAGCATGTACATATGGAGACAATTTTCGTTTAAATATGTGGTTTAACACTCTCGATGTTTTTTTTCACTATTTTTTTTAATGAGGTATCATGTAGCCTGAAAAAAATTCTCAAGTTGTAGACTTTACATTCAAACACCGGTGATGTTTTTGCAGATCGCTGATGGAAAGTAAATTGATTTCTGGAACAACCCTGATTGTTGATCGTTATCCTCATTCTGGTGTTGCCTTCTCATCTACTAAAGGACTTTGATATCGATCGGTGTAACAAGAAGATTTTCCCAGTCCTAATTTCTTTTAGTATGAGCAAAATCAATGTAAGAAAGGCATGGAAAGTTTGAAGATAAACCATTCTAGTAGTATTATATCTTGGTTGATAATGCTGTTGTTTAGCTTAGTTTTTTTCTTGTATTTCTGTCGTATTAAAAAAAAAATTATATCTTGGTTAATGTTGTCTATGTGATGATAAAAGAAGTTTTGTCCTCTGAAGGCGCCAGAGATTGGGTTGTTGGCTCCGGATGTGGTATATTGCCGGAGGTCAATTGCTATTCTTGCCTCATGTAACCATATTGGAGATCTAAGGCAAAATTATTATGGAGACTTAGGGTATTATAATTTATGAATTACACAAACTTTGTTAAAATTAGGTTTTACATTTATTTTAATGGCTGCTTGTCAAAAAAATTATTTCAATAATTTTTTTTAATTTCAAAGCATATGCAAAATCATTTTTTGCTAATAGAAAAACAAATAATATTATAACATATATTCTCAATATATCATACTATAATTAATATCATGATGTAATTAATTTATAAGATGAAAGATTAAAAGATTTCTTATATAAATAATTTTTTTATGTGGCCTTAGGGCTTGCAAGGCCATGCATGTAATTAATAGCGATTTGTTGGATTACGTTTTAATGCTGTATTCTCTGTACTAATATTTAATAAATACTCCCTCCATTAAAAAATATGAAGTATTTTTTGAGGAATTGAATATTTAAAAATATAAGACATTTTTAGTATTTTGAGATGTAATTATTATCTTTTTTTTAAAGTGCCCCTATTGATAATGATTTTATATTTATTGGAGGGTGTTTAATAAGGGTAAATATAAAAAGATAAAGTTAGTTTAAAAATAAGTAATTATTTTATTAAAGAGTAAAATTTAATTAAAAATATTTTATATTTTTTAATATAGGGAGTAGTTGTTTCCTCCTTCCGTTAGTTTATCTTAAAAAAGGATACTACCGTTTAATGTTGTATTCTCTGTAGTATACAACTATCTAACCTTATCCTGTGTGGGGCACCAAACAGGGCTTCAATGTGCGTGGATTATCAGATCTTTTGTTTTACTGTTTGTTTTTGCTAGCATTAAGTTTATCTTTATTTCCTACATATTCCAACACATATCATCGTTCGAAACTTGTTTGCTGCCGCAAAAGAATCAAACATGCATGTACCCTTTAGACCGTCCCTATAATCAATTCGGAAGGAAAGCAACCAGTTATCATTTATTGAGAATTCATCATTGTCGCTCATTAATGCCTTGTTCTATCTTCCCTCTAAATGACCCTAACCTGGCTCATCCAAGTTAATTTGCTATCCCTTGAATGGTCCAATAATCTATTTTTGTGGCGAATAATCAGACATAGCCTGCGTGCCTTCCGCTATGTACTCGTGTGCACGCAACTTGTATGGAATATCTGATGTGTCCTCCCGTGATTTGTTTATGCCGTTCCAGACTTGTACTCTGAACCTATAATCTAAAAAAAAAACTAATAAGAAGGACCTGCTGAGTGTACGTCTTGAAGACTTGAACCACTTGGCAATGTTTTCACACCCTAGTTGAGTTAATCGATTGGATCATTATCGAGAAAAGAGAGCAATCTAATTCAATACTTTGTTTCATTTTAGCAATTGACCTGAGCAATTCTTAAAGACTTGAAGAAAAAATCAGGATGCAAAAAAGTTAGACCATTTTAACTCATTTTTTATTCAAATATTATTGTTATTCAATTATTTTGTTGTTGGTTTGATTATCAATTTGACTGGTTAAATCATAAAAGTCATAACTCACTAATTTTTTTGATTCATTATCAAGTTGATTTTTTAAAACATTGTTCATTGGGTGACTCTCATTTAACCATTTTTTCTCACCTCTCCTCTTGTCTTCACTCAATTTGAGTTATTTTCTTGAAGAGGTGTTTGAATTGTCATGGTTTTCATATCAATAGCCTGCACAAGAAAACAATGGCGGAGTCAGGATCTTAGGTCAGAAAGGGCTAAACTAGGATTTTAGTATAAGAAAAATTTTTTATCTTTTTAAAATTCATTAAGTTTCTTTCTTTTTTTCTTTGTCTTTGTTTCTTAATTCAATTTTCAATTACAAAATTGCAAGTGTAGTGAGTTAGCAAAATGCATTCAATGGTTTTACTCTTGATTCTTGAATCTTTATTCTTTGTTGCCTTTTTTCTGACTAATACTTTAGGACAAGGATGATATGGATCTAGTTTAATCAAATTGATTTTTTTCTTCTATTTTTGAAGGATTAATAAATAATATTGGTATTCAATTATGATAAAATTATGAGTTAATATTTACAAAGCTAAGTTAAAAAATTAAATTTTAAATTTGAGCTAAATGTAATATTAAAATGAATTTAAAATTTAAAATATAAAAATAAGGGATGTAAAGTATAAAAAAGAGAGGGAGTAACTTGTAAAATATTAAAACATATATCCTCCTATATGTAAGTTTTCCAAGTAGCCCCCTTAATTACACGTGGCTCCGCCACTACAAGAGAATATGTCCGTACGGATACGCCACAGATCATTGTGTTCATGGAGTTTAATTCAAGGAAAGACTAGATTGGCTTTAAACAAAATAAATATGTACCACTTGATTTTTCTAATATTACGTTGAAACTAATGAAAAGATGACTTTTTCGGAACACTTCTTCGTTGGTGAATTTTGGTCTGTAATTTGTCTTTGTTATGTTAATATTATCATTTGACTTCCCCCAACAACGAAAAAACGTCACTGTTGCCAAATTTCGAATTCTTACGTTAAAACACGAACTCTTCCAATGATCAAAATTTACAGTAGCCATCCTATAGCGACGGCTTTGTCGTGCTATCTTAACTCTAACAGCATGTACGTAGCCGAACAAACGCTTGTTATAATATATATTCATTCCCTTTCGCATTCAAAATAAATAAATGAATACATACATACATACATACATATATATATATATATATATGTATATGTATATGTATGTATGTATGTATTCATTTTTTTTATTTATCTATCCTTTTACGAATTCAAAATACTATTAAATTGTATTTTTATTTATATTTTCATTTACTCTAGTTTTAAAAGTTAAAAACAGCATTAATTACTAATACAAATTAAGGAAATATTATAAATTAAAAAATTAATCTTTTAGCCCTTTCAGTTTTAAATCATTTAAAACTTAATTTTTTAATTATGATTTAACATAACTCAATTTTTAAACTTTTAATTCGTTTAAAACTCAATCATTAATTTTTTAATGAGCTAAAGTATGCATTTAGTCCTTTAATTTTATATAATATGTTATTTTAATACCTTACTTTTATAAAATATCTTTTTAATTATTTAATTATAATATTGTTAGTTTTATTCCAATGAATTTTTATATTAAGTTTTTAAATATTGATAAAATATTCTTAAATGTTGACTTATTAAGTTTAATTTTTTTAAATATTAATGATTAACATAAAAAATAATTATTTAAAATTAATAATATTATGATTAAAAAATTAAAAAGATACTTTACAAAATTAAAAAATTAAATTAAAATTTTATATAAAGTTAGCCTCTTTCAATAATTTTAATAATTTTGTTCTTATGATTCTTAATTCAGTTTGAGTCATCCTAGGGCAAAAAACGTTTCTAACGTCCGTCAAAAATCGCACCGTGTGGTTGCCAACTTAGCTCCAGGCGGATTTGATGAATTTCTTTTTGAAAAATAAAGCGTGTGAGGCCGACAGCGTTGAGCACTGTTTATAGATGGTCCAAAAAATGAAGTGTTTATTTAAAGCGAATGAGTTCAACTCTAGTTAAATGGTCCAAAGAATTGCAGATGATCCATTAGGGGGAAAAAAAACAAGATCTGCAATCGAAGAAGACGCAAACAAAAACGAACGAAGGAGAGGACAAGAAATGTAGAGGCAAAGAACAAGAAGAAAACACATTCTCCCTTAGGTTAAAAAAACATGTGATATTTTTTGAAAAATTTGATGTCTAAAAATGTAAGATATTTTTAATATTTTTAGATATAATTAATATATTTTTTAAAAAAATATTCATAATAAATAAATCACCTTATATTTATTTTAAAATAAAACAACTTATCAAATAAAAATAAAAATAACAAAAATGATGTTAATTTAAATAAAATTAACTACTTTATTCACGAGTAGCAAATAATCATGATATTTTTTAAGAATGGCGTTTTTTCTTGGTTCTCATTTTAGCTGGGGATAGATATGCTTTTAGGGTTCCTTCATGTGCTGAAAGATTTAAATAATTGCATTTTTTTAATATATGTATTTTTATTGAAAATTTTTAATCTGTGCTAAAAACTTAGAAGTCATGTGGAAAAAAAAAAGGAAAAAAAACAAAGAAGGAATCCTGAGACGGCCAAACTTGGAATCTTAAACAACTCCCATTGTTTTTACCGAAAATTGGTCAAAAAAGGGAAGACCAAGGAAAACTTCTAAATAATCTGCCTCGAAATCTCAGGAAGAATCATCACTATCCATAGTGATTACTGATTAGTGAACCCAAAGATAAGTCAGAGGATTTAAAGTTTAGAAGTTTAAAAAGAAATTAAAACTGTTTTGAAATTGTCGTAACATGTTGTGTTAGAAAGTGGCCTTCACTAACGAATTGCGAGATTATTTGTAATTCATTTTATTTTATCTTAATTATAATTATATGTTTTTTATTTTAAAAACATGCATGACTCTCTCTTAAAATCAATATTTATTAAATACAATTTTTTTATTTTTAAAATTTTATTTTCATTAACTCAACCATTATTAGGCCGTTAAATCATATGTATTTGACCAAAACACTCTCATTTAAATATAAATATTATCTAAAAATTATTTAATTTATCCAAAAAAATTAATGGATATATTTGTACCTTTTTAATTCATATTCTATTTTTTTAGTTATGCAAAAATATTTATTTAGTATTTTAAAAATAAAAAATTAAATAAATAGGTTAGCTAAAGTAAAATTTGAAACATATGTAAAAAAACTTAATAAAATAGGAATTTAATATAATAAAAGATAAATTTTTCAATATAATTTATTTTTATTTTTCTTTAAATTTTAAAATTTTGATAAGATATTTGAAAACTTTTCTATTTAAATAATATTATACTTAATTATTCAAAGTTCTTTTAATTGAGGAGAGAGAAGAAAATTAGATTATAAGGATAAATTAATAATTTTAAATTTTGATACATAATTACAAATAAAAAATCAAGTATCTTAAAATATTTAATAGAATATTATTGAGAAAAACTTAGTTTCTCCATTCAAAAATGTAAGACATTTTTTAAAGAGTTGAATGTTTAAAAATGTAAGGCATATTTATTTTTTTGAGATATAATCAATGCCTTTATTTTAAAAGTACTTCTATTTATAATGACTTTGTATTTATTATAGAGTGTTTAATAGGGATAAATATGAAAAGATAGAGTTGGTTTAAAAGTAGGTAACTATTTTATTGAGAAGTAAGATTCAGTTAAAAATATTTTATATTTTTGAATAAAGAGAACACATAGTTAGCCTTATATACTTTATATGCCTGTTTTTAATTAAATTAAGACATATGTATATATTATAAATTATTTGTTATATAATAAATTATTATTATTAATATATTAAAATTTGTATGTCTTAATTTGATTAGATGAAAGCATATTAAATATGTAAGGGTAAATATATAAGTCTTGTCTAATATTATTAACGATATTAAAAATGGGATCAAATTATAGGTTTTGAAAATAAGAGAGAAGTCTTTGCAATTTAAGTAAAATACAACGGACATGAATGTATTTTATTCTATAATTAAATTTTATCTTCACGTTTGAAAACCTGTAGATGACTAATTTCTTTTCAAGCTTAAATTGATATGGAATGGTTCAACCTATTACGCTCAGCTCCTGACACAGACAGATATTTATAAAAGTAAAAGCAATATATTATTACACCTAGGATGGATTAAAAGGGGGTAAAAACACATTACAAGTATAACGATGAGGATGAAACGAGCGGACGTGACTGTACAGTTGGCGCCTAAAATTGAGAGATTGTGTCTGATTGCAGAAAGAAGGAAACACGTCCATCTCTGAAATCTACAGTTTCCTTTTATTGTCTAGTATTGACGACGTTGTAGACTACAGCTCGTGTAGTTGTCTTTCTTTCAGATCATGGGCATGGCTCCTCCGCTTCTCTCCTTCTTTTTTCTTCTTACCTGCTTCTCCTTTGACGTCTATTCCTCTGCCTTACGAATGCATTACAAAGATCACTGTACTTCTATAGTCCCCAAGCCAAATCTCCGTTATCCCAGGCCATCGCTTATCTCCGTCGATCATTTACAGACAGCTTATTTCACCGGAGCCGATAGAATTCTTGGCGCTAATCCTTATTCGCAGCAAAACTCAATCTTTCTCCGATTCTGGCGCTCGAGAGAAACTGATGTTGCTGACGTGTTCGAAGTTAGAGGGTCAATATCAATTACAAGCTCCAGTCCCCATTACTATGTTGGAAATTCCAGCTATGGTCGGTCGTCGTATTATAGGCCTCGTCGTAGTTCTGTGACCATAATTCTTGAGGGGTTCTGGTCTGCATCCACGGGGAAGCTCTGTATGGTTGGGTCAGGCATTAATTATTCCAGAAGAGGTAAGACTTTCGATCTGGATGTTGTTTTAAAGCTCAATAATCTCTTCAACTCAAGTAATATCAGTAGTGTGGTTAGTGGGAGCTTGGACAGATTGGAGAGGGAAGGGATTGATTTTGAAACCTTTCCTGTGCTTATGCTTCCACAATTCAACTACGAGTTCACCTTGGATTCTGAAGAATCTAAAAATGAGTTTTCACATGTCGCGAATTATGGTGATACTGAGAAGGGCTTACCAGGAGATAAGTACTTTTTCTGCTCATCTCGTGTTTGGCAAGCAATTAGAAAACTTCATTTGCAGTACTTTGGTGACTGCAATATTTCACAGAATTGTACTCCATTTAGCGGGATTCCTGGGGTTTTGCCACCTTCTGTATCTTTGAATCTAATTGAATGTACTTTTACCAAGAAGAAACAGCTGAGGGTTTTGGTAAACTTTGGTAATCATAGTTATGAAGATTTTGGTGACAACGTTTTTAATCCCAGAACTACGTTAGTTGGAGAAGGGTGGTGGGATGAAAAGAAGAATCACTTTGATATAGTGGCTTGCCATTTTCTAGGATTGTCATCTTCATCCTTCTCTCGTGCTCATGTGGGTGATTGCTCAGTAAGATTAAGACTAAGATTCCCTTCTGTCTGGTCAATCAAAGACACCAGCACCGTTGTGGGGAAGATGTGGAGCAACAAAGCTGGGAAAGATCTCGATCACTTCAAGGGGATCACTTTCAGAAAAGAAAATGATCAGAATGTAGGTGTTAAAGGCTTAAAGTATGAGTATACCCAGCAAGACACAGTCAAAAGGTTGTGCCCAAGACACACTGTCAACCATAAGGGGACAAGGTACCCAAGCCCATATTCCTATAACATGAAATTTGATATGTCTGTTAGAGATTCCATTAGACAAGTAGCCTGGAGTCATTCAGCTCCTTTATCTGTTGGTGATCAGTTCTATGACCTGGCATTTTCTTCAGCTGCTGGCAAATTTATCACAAGTGGCTTGTTTAACGTTAGCTACAAAATCAGCATGTCATTGTATGATAATCGACCCTTAAGGGACAAAAAGTCCTTGTTCGGTAAGTACAGTAAGACAGTAAAGATTTCTGCAGAAGGAGTTTATGATGCAGGAGCAGGAAGTTTATGTATGGTTGGCTGCAGAAATCTTTCCCCACCAAATAATGGGATTTCAATGGCTCATTCTGTGGATTGTGAGATTCTGGTGAAGTTTCAGTTCCCATCATTACACCCAAGGTTTGCAGGCTACATTGTGGGAAGCATTGAAAGCACGCGCAATGAATCAGATCCTCTTTACTTCAAGCTTCTTCGCCTAAGGTCTGCTGCATATTACAAGGAGTTAGCAAAAGAAACTGTTGAGAGAAAGGACATGGAGATCATTGTGGTTCTGATGTCTACCACTCTATATTGTGTTCTTGTGGGATTCCAACTCTATCATGTGAAGAAGAACCCTCAAGTCCTTCCCTTCATCTCCCTCACCATGCTCTCAATTCTCACTTTTTACCACATGATCCCTCTAGTTTTGAACTTTGAAGCTCTCATCTCTCACAATCACAATGCTAAAAACTTCGTTCTTTCAGATGTTGCGTGGCTTGAATCTAACGAAATAACAGTTAGACTAATTACCATGGTAGCCTTCTTGATGCAGTTTCGTCTCCTTCAGCTTACTTGGTCTGCAAGAAACAGCACTGATGGAACTCCGGAGAGACTCTGGATTGCTGAGAAAGAAGCTGTATTTGTGACTTTACCTTTATACGGAGCTGGTTTCCTCATTGCAATGGTGAAGGGCAAGAACAACAATAATCATTATTTGGTCTCAGTGTCTTCCAGGTACCAGCAAACTTCATCTTGGGAGGTTTTGAATGCTTATGGAGGATTGGTATACGATGGCTTTCTCTTGCCTCAGATCATGATGAACATGTTCTCAAATATGAAGGAAGATGCACTTTGTGGTCCATTTTACCTTGGAACTAGTTTTCTGAGGGTACTGCCACATGTTTATGATCTTTACAGGACTTCTCAGTATGGGAGGCAATACAGTGGATCATACTTTTATGCTGATCCAAGTGCAGATTTTTACTCCACGGCTTGGGACTTGGCCATTATTGTGGGATGCCACCTATTTGCTCTCATTGTCTACTTGCAGCAATGTTTTGGTGGTTCTTGTATTCTTCCTTCCAGATTCAGAGGGTCTGAGACATATGAAATGGTGCCTTTAGGGACTCAAGAAGCTGAAGTAGCAGAAGAGTGTCAAGAGATGCCCAAAATTTAAAAGCTATTAAGTTCTGTCATGTCAATATTACGTGTATGAATAAATTTGAAAACCTGATGAAGTATTACTGCTCTTGCTGTTAATTTGATCCCGCCTTAAAGTTTGTGTAACTGTTTGCTGACATCATAGCCCATAAGCCAAGTGTTCTTATTACACAGAATTGAAAATAAGCTAATTGTAGGAGGCTTTTATATAAAATAAGAAATGTGTTTCCAGATAATCAAACAACCAAACGTAAATTGAGTCAGTCCTTTGCCTTCTTACATTAGAACAATCAATAACATTAAAAAAAAAAAAAACGCCAGTATATGGGAGTCGTACCTTACATTCATGTATCTTGATTTTCTCTGTATTTTAACCATGTTTTTTATATACATTTGTTTATTCCTACAAATATAAATACTTTAAATTGAAACCAATGGACTGATTCAACATTTTTTTAGACTTGGAGAGACTATTTGTGGCACTGTTATTGGGTCTCTCCTCTACCATGCCTACTGAGATCTCCGCAGTTTAATTCCTCCGAGATATTATCTTAACCCCACATTTAAATAAAATTTAAGTTATGGCCCTCCTATATAATGATTTCTGAATTCGTCTCTGATAACGTGGTATTCATCAGCTGCTGAGCACTAAAAACAATTCAAATTTAATTTTAAGAATTTCACATTTTTTATAAATTTTTATTTTAATAATATAATATTACAAATATCGAAAAATAAATTTAAAATGGATAGCAGAAATCAAAGAACAGCCCTTGAGCTGATGGACGAGCACGGAACGGGAACGCAAATAAATAAATGTCTGTGTCGCTCTATGTGTACATATGATATCCAGATTCTTGAAAAAAAAAAAAAAAAAAAACTTCAAGTTGGCCGAAGCACGGATACGAAACATTATGAACTTTCCAGGTCAAAAAAAGAAAAAAGGACATCATGAACTGAACATGGTAAGGCTAACTAGTTAAGGCTGGATCCACGACGACATTCTGAATCCTCTGGCTCCGTTCGCATTCGACGCGACGCTGTAACGACAAACTGGACACGTCAGCTTCTTCTTCTTCAACCAGCACGCGATACACATGCAGTGAAAAATATGGCCACAACCTGGAAAGACCAGGCATTTCTCTCCTTTCTGGAATTCCTCCAAGCAAATCGCACACTCACTATAACCCAATTCCACGAGCTCTTCGCTTCCGAAACACTCAATAGTGCCAACCACGTTCTTCTTGCTCTCTTTTCTTCCTCTTTCCCCTTTCCCCTTCACCGTCCTGAAGAATGCTTCCAGAAACTTCGCTGCCTTCTCGTCGTCTTCTAGGTCTCCGTTCAGAAGTTCAAAACCCTCTCTGCATTCCATCTCCGAGTCATCTCCTCTGAACCAGAACTCAATGAGATTGATCGTGGCGAGGCAGAAGATGAAGAAGGAGAGTGTCAGCAGAGTGAAAACGAAGCACATAACCATTAGGAGCAATAAGATTCCCATGGCGGTGAAGCAGGACATACTCGGAGGGAAAGGTGTTGGATCTGCTTTTTTGGTGTCCACATTGTTATAGTCGTTGTTGTTGTCGCTGTGATTCATGGGAATCTTTGATTGGATTTTTCCCCCCTGATTGATTCGAAGTAGATCTTGGAAGGGTACGAAGCTGCGTGTGAAAATGGCATTAATGGCAGAAACTGATGGAGATATGGTTGGGGATGAAGAAGGAATGAGAAACTGAGAAATGAGAATCCAGAAAGATGGTGAGAAACTGAGAAATGATCCAGAAATCTTTTACGTTTTTAGAAAGTTAAAATCCTGGTTGATCAAAGGGAAAATTATATCGTCAAACAATTATCTTAATGTTTCCCCCCCCAGATGACGCAGTCTTTTAAATAATTTAAATTTATGTTTAAACATCAAAATTAATAACAATAACAACCATTTCTTTCCTTTGCACTTTGCCCACAATAACAATATCGATCTCAAATCTCAATTAATTTTTTTTCTCTACAATATCAAGAAACGCTTTTTAATGCAAACTTTGAACACTTTAAAGTAGTAATAATGATAAGAAGAAGGAAGATTTGAGCCTTATTTTCTTTCCAGGTTCTAATAATGACTTTCTTAAAATTTAGCATGAATTTTGATGATAATTAATTTTTAAAATAAGATTATATGAATTAATATGCGATACTCTTCCCATTAATTATAATTTGAGAGATGGCGTAGATGGCACCCTTGTTACAAAAAGGAAAGAAAATTGTAAGATGTTGTGATGGTATAAGTGAGTAGAGCCGTTAATTAAGGTCGAGTGTGTCAGGTCGGGTCGGCCCTTTTAAACTTGCAAAAATTAAAAGCAAGGCTACTTCTTTAAAATATAAAATAGTAAACTGGATTTAAAAGAACCAACACTTTAAAGCCCAAAAATAAAAAACTGGCTTTTTAAGGTCAGGGCTAGCCCTTTTAAACTCTCTTACTTTTTTTTAATTAATATATAAAAAAAAATAAAAAAGTGAAAACCCTAGCTTACCTCCCTTAATTCCTCTTAGAGTTCTCATTCACGATTATTTCACGCACGGAGTTGACTTGTGAACTGTGAGTTTGTGACTTGTGAGTGGCTCTGACAGGGCAACTATGACCTTGCTCCATGCGCTCATCCAACATCCTTTCCTTCCTCTACATCCTACTTTGTCCATCAACCAACTTTAGTCATGGCCCACGGCGGCAACCCTCCTTTCCTCTACAGTTTGTCATTGTGCCCATGCTCTATCCCTCATCCTTGCTCAGAGCTTGAGTCATCTGCTGCATCCCTCATCCATAATAGATTTGCAATCACGATTGATCGATCACTTATCATCTCCTACTCTATCACTCATCCTGTGCTCACTGTTGTCTTTCATTAGCCTCTTTCCATCAGTAAGTGATTGTAATTGCAATAAAAAATTAAAATATATATATATATATATATATATAGGGTTGAGGCCTTAAAGGCCAGCCCTTTAACTCTAAGTGCTAGGGTTAACTCGATCAAAATAATACCCTAAAATAAAATCAAACTTAATAGGGCCAACCCTTTTAAATTCTAAGCCTTTAAGGGGCTGACTCTAATTGACATTTGTATAAATGAAAAGAATTTGGAATATGTACATTCATTAATCCAGAACTTGAAGGCCTAAAATATATTATAATGACCCACATTTATTACTTGATTATAAATTTAAAACTTGATGCCAAAACATAGTTAGAATACATTTTAGTATTTTATTTCCCTCCCTAATAGACGTCAAAAACAAAATTGTAATGTTATTTGAAATAAATATCATATATTGGCCAAAAAGTATATACAAATATCATATAAAATCTCTAAGCGCTATATATAGGGTTTTTCATAACGCAATCTCTTCTGCTTCTTTAATAATAACAAATAATCTCTCTTCCTTCTTGGATGTAATGTGATACATACTTTGTTCGTAACCTGCATCTCCATGAAAAACATTAGAGAAGTTGCTTTATTATGCACTATTCCTTCTATCTTATACATTAATCACATTCTAGAAGCATAATTTGATTCACTTTCTAAATCATGCATAATTTGATTTACTTTATAAATCATTAATTAATGAGATTGTTTTGTTTTAAATTAAAATTTTAAGATACCATTAAAAAGTAAGAGAAAAGAAAGATTAAAAATAATATTATATTATTATTATTATTTTTACTCAAGGATTATATTTAAAATTTGACTTACTTTATTCCTTGTACTTTTATTGTATTGATGTTGATGAGATTGATAAAAGTGACTTATAAATAAAATAAGAGTACACATGAGATGAACGTAGAAGAAACAATTAATGAGTTTTAATTTAATTTAGAAGAGGGGTATTATTTTATTTGTCACTCACAGTCTCTCATATATGCTGCCGATTGCCGAATATGAACGATTATGCTGTAAAAATTTATTATATAGAAGGCTTAATTATACCCATTTTTCTTTCTTTCCTCATTCTTATTTTGTACTAAATGCAACATATATATTACTTTATAACCAGATTCATTCACGAGTAAGATCCTGCAAAAAATGAACTTATAATCAATATTAGTATTAATTTGTAGAATATGTTCTTTATAAATTTGACTTATTCTATGTGTTTACATGGTTCAAAAAAGTATTAGCCAAATAAAAAATATATGCTTAAAAAAGGTTTTAAAAAATAAATATGGATGATTTTAGGTTATTAACTTTTGTTTAGAGTTCAAATCTACCAACTAGCTTAAGCATCTCATAAACAGACTGAAAGCCTCTAATGTGTCTTTCTCTAATATTCATTTTAATGCTTCAAGTTCTTAATTTTTTTTTTATTTTTTTTAGATCATTAAATTCTACTTAAAATAAGAGACATTCGGATATCTTGAAGTCTCAAAATGGTGAAGATTTATATTTTTTATGATTTTTCAAAAATAAAATGGTATAATTCTAATATTTTTCTTTAAAAATTGTAGAAAATACAAATTTTCATCATTTTAGGACTTTAAGATATCCAAATGTCTCTTATTTTAAGTAAAATTCAATGATAAAAAAATAAAAAATAAAGTTAGAAACTTAAAAGCATTACAATGAGCATTAGAAAAGGGCATATTAAAGACTCTAGCCCTCTCATAAACAAGTTCATCCCATCCGTCGATATCCTCAAAAGACATCATAAAAATGCTACAGTAATAAATGAACATATAACCTGTCACAACTGCCTCTAAAACATCATCCTAACTTGTTAATATGCTACGTAATGACAATGTAACGCCGACATGTTGGGCACGTTAGCTTGGTCGCTAACCAGCAGTCAATGCAATTCGAATGAAACACATGATTGCACGCAGGCAAAATCTGACATAGCTCTCCAACCTCAAAATCCTCCAAACATATCACACAATCCACACAGTTCCTCGTCGCTTTATTATTAATCTCATTCTCGCTTCCATACTTCACCAACGCCGGCAACTTCTTCATTGCCCTCAGAGTTTCCCCTCTTCGCTCGTCCACGTTCTCCGCCGCCGGTTCCTCCATTAACGCCCCCACCATCACCCACGCCTGCATGTTGCTCAGAACCAGAGCCTGAAACAGCGCCACCTGGTGTTGCGGCGGCGAGTGTGAAGGCATGTCGCCGCCTCCCGCCGTTAGCTCTGTTCCTTCTTCTATGTTGACGTCATCGTCGCGGGGATAGTAAATCCTGGTGTCGACGAGCCGGTAGAAGAAGCTGCAGAGGATGTGGTAGACGACGCAGAAGAAGAGTGAGACCGAGAAGCCGATGATGATGGAGGTTCGAAGATCGAACGTGATCGTGTATTGATCCGTTTGAAGGGGAATGCCAGCGTCGTTGTCATCTCCTGACCTCATGGTTGGGAGCAAATCTTCAAGGTGATCGGCCATAGATATGAATTCTTTGGTGCGTCTGTGTTTGTAAGAGATGAATGAATGTTGTGTGGGCGTTTGCGTCTGTAAGAGATGAATGTTGCGCTCTGAAAGTTGGTAATTTATATGGGCACAAAAGTAGTTGAAGTAAAGCTGTCATGAGGCAGCATGGGTTGTGAATGTTCCAATTATAGGTAATTTCAAACAAGAGAAAAAGTTCTATCATTTTTCTAATTTTTTCTCCCTCTGGATTATTTGGACACAACTAACAAAATATAGACAGAGGAAAAGAGCAGCCTAATAATTAATTGGTTTCCTTACTCATGAGCCTAATAAAAGGCTCGGAGATTTAGCAAGTCTTAGTCAAACACCTGCATGCATGGGGAATTAAGGTAGATCTTGAAACACATATATTAGCTGACAAGGTCGACAAGGATAAAATTAACTAACGACCGGTTTAACACCCATCTTTCAAAACAAATATTTAATTTTTTACATTTATTATATATTTCTTTTATTTGACAGATCTCGTCTTTATATTATTTTCTTCAATATGGTCTTTTAATACCAAATACTATATCGCTGCCCCATTTTTTTAGGACATCATCTTGACATTCTTTGTAGAAACATACTTCATATCAAAGATAACTAGAGCTCAAACCCGCCGAAGAAGGAGCATAATGTCAAAGGCTTACACAAGCTTTCCAGTTACCCCAAAAAGGTCAAAAATAACGAAGCGAAAGTATAGAATCAACCAAAAGAGTCAGCCAAACAAGAACACAGACGTCTTCCTTCACATTGACGGCCACATAATATACAGATCTTTTCTTTAGCCACGGAAAATACATAGATAACATTCAAATAATGTTGAAACTAAGCTAATCTGAGCTTGAAGTATGGCAAACACTTAGCATGGCAAGTTACAATCCTCTATTGCCAAACTCTCAGCCAGCTAGAATGCCTAGATTCATTCAGGAATTACAACGCCGAGGAATAGAAAGATGAAGAAAGAGCATCAGGAGAATCAAGAGGCAAATACGGTAACTTGAAATACAAAGTTCTTCCTCTTGATAAGCTCAAACACACAGACGTCTCCTTCCTTCACACTGTTGGACCTGGCGAAACCGATCCAACCCTTCCATATTCGGATAGATCCCGGGTGTAGCCTATGAAAATTGATCGCCCATTTTTGTCCCTTAGAATCCTGCAGCTTCATAGGACCAAGTTTTCCCACATAAGCTCTCCAAAATGAAATCGGTACATCCTACACATGAGCACAAGAGAATTGATGGATGAGCCACGAATTAACAAAGTGAGAAAGAATCACATTCATAGAACATAAACGTTCCTCACCAGATAACGACAAGTCAGATTACTTGGCCTTACTATAGCAGTAAAAGATGGATTTTCTGGTTTGAAATTCTGGGCAGCTTCCATGGCACTTTGCTTTCTTCTCAAGGTGTTCTTCATTTTGGAACAACGTCTTTGCCTAGATCTATCTTTCTCTTTCTCATGATTTCTTGAGGACTCTATTTCTTGCCCGGATCTATCTTTGTTTCCCGATTTACCGTGGTTCAATACATTGTCATCGTCTACATCAATTATTTCTTCTTGATCTTCCAGCTTATGCTTCTTGCTCCTCGTGTTGTAGCCATTGTGATCAAAGCTGGATGACCTTTTCCTATGGCGTTCAGATGCCGAGTTCTGCTTCTCAAAGTTAGTTTTGCATGGATAGTAAATCTCAGCTCCACTCACATCAAAGATCACCACACTGAACTGTGAATTGCCTTCATACTTAAACACAAGAAAGAAGCCAAAACTAATAGAGTAGTATTTCACAAATTCCTGCCAACCTTTGCAAAAGCAAACCTCGTTTTCAGATTTCTCCAGTTCCATTTTCCAAGCAAGGCCATCCGGAACACCAATCGTTGCATCACAAGCCAGTTCATTCTCAAATCTTCTTACAAACTCCTTTGGAATTCTCTGCATGGTCATTCCTCTAATTACTTTGATTTTCTGAATTATGAGATTAATTAAATCAATGGAGGTAAGCAAAGTGGTTCGTACTTGATAAATGGATTCTTTCGACTTCCTCTAAGTGAAGTTCGGATCCAGAGAAAAAAGAAAAGATAAGGTTTTCCTTTTGGTTACAAGAGTAGAATCTCTTGAATAGTTGACATTATCTACCATTAATAATTTCAAAAAGTTACTTCGTATGAATCTTCAAAAAAGTGGTATAAAAAAGTTTGATCATCGGAATAGTCGAGCTCTGCATAGCCATGAAGAATAAAATGATTCTATCAATTAGTTAGAATTTTCCTTTTTGGTTTCAAGCCCATGAGGCAAAATTCAGAAGGAAATACAAGTTTCAGATATGTTCACTAATATATAGTCTTTAAACGCAAATGAAAATTACATCACAAAATAAAAAGATAACTTATTTAGGATGAGAAACACAGAGCACGAACTAGAAACTTGAATCGAAAACAAAAAAAACAGAGCAGCAAGTTTTTCCAGCTCAATTCTTGAAGCAACTGGCAATCATATCCTCTTATTCTCAAATAGTTATAGGTCAATCTTCTGAGTGCCTATATTGTTATTATATTTCCCTAGAACACCAAGAAACAACTCGCACCTCATTCCAAATCATACACAATAACCCCGAAATTTTTATTATTTTTTCTATCATTGCCATTCAAGAAACTTTCTCTGGATTCCTTTCATTTCGCTTGGCATAAAAAATGTATATAGCAACTATTAGAAGAGCTGAGTACTAGTAAGATCCACAGATTAAACATTGTGTATGAAGCAGCTAGTGCATATTTCTGCATTTTCTCCGCTCAGTGTAAGGCCAACCAAAAAAAAAAAAAGGCAGAGCTTACCATGTCTTGGCTATGAATCGTTCCGGGAAGTATGATCTTGAAGAAGTGGCTGGGTACAGCATTAGCTGAATAAACCGATGGCCGGACAAAGGTTCTCCTTCTCCGGCGACGCCTCGACCTCATTGATGGATCAGTGTGATGTGCAGTGTGAAGTCTTTTCACTCACTTGTACACTCCCCTGTCAATCAAGCTCACCTGTTTTTTCTTACTCCCTCCCCTTTCGTCCGTTTAAAACATTTTTATTCTGAATCTCCCTTTTAATAAAATAATTATTTATTTTTAAATTATTTTTATATTTTTATATTTACTTAAACATTTTTAAAATAAATAAAATAATTTATTTAATAGAAGTATTTAAAAAAAAGATAATAATTATATATCAAAAGATTAAAAATATTTTATATTTTTTATCATTATTTTTAAAGGAATGGAGTGCTTTTCTTTACTCTCTCTGTTTTTTTCCTTTTCAAATATCTAAATAGGATGCATTTAATTATATCATTAAAATAATTTTAAAAATAAAAAAGTTGAATATATTGAAAGAAGCTATTCCTCCACTTGTATGAAGCAACGTCAGAACTTCCATTTGAAAATGTATTCACATTTGGTCAATTACAGTGCTTTGAATACAATTGCATCTCATAAAATGATATTTATAAACAATTAAAATAATTACTGGTAACAAAAAAAATTAAAAAATTATCTTAAAAATGAAATAAATTTTTAAATTTACCCATATTTTAAAATATAAATTTAAAAAGAAAAATCTTAAAGAGTTGTAATCAAAGATAAGTGAAAAAAAAATTAATTAATATTCAACTTTATATATATATATATATATATATTTTAAGTGACTAATATATATCATCATCAATGTTTTACAAGGTTATTGATATAATATATATAATTGGAGGGGTAGTATTATTCAAGAGTTCTCGCGTTTTAAGCTTGTGTAAATATAAAAATATTTTTAAAAAATTATTTTAATTGAGTTTAATAATACTTGAATCTAACACTAACACAGCCAAATAGTCATATAAAAAGATATTATTGTACCTATGTTGAATTTTTGGCAAAAAAAAAAATAATATTATACCTATGATTCACTAATGGGCAAAACACCATTTTTCAAAAGATAAATTGACTTACTGGTCAACAAAATTCTTGTACTCAAAAAACATGAATGAAGTTTTTGAAAATTTGAGAGTGTGGTTGGTTACATTGATATATAAAAGTTTATTATCAATATACAAGAGGAGTTTATTATTAATATACAATAATATATCATTGACAAAGATACTAAATTGATCATAATATAAAATATAATAAATATTGAACTATTTATTTAATTTAATCTTATAACATAAACTATATCTGTAAAAATTTCTTTTTAAAAATTTGCGGTGAGCTGCATTATTATTACTTCTTGATTTGGTTAGGAAGAAAAATAAAGAAAAAAGAAACAAGAAGGAAAAACTTCCAAAAATAATAATTTTGTTTACTATTTTAAAAAAGTTTCCTCCTATTTTTCTTTGCTCCTTATTTTCTCCTCACTTCCATCCAAACCAACCTTTAAATTAAATTAATTTTTATACTTTCTTCTGTCTATATTCCGTGCATTTATGCATGGAACCACAGCTATAGGTTTCATTCCAGTCTAATTTGTCTCCAAATCGCTCATGCGGAAAAGCAGCAACAAGGATCAAAGTGAGGTAGAAAAATGACTTCGATCTCACAAACCAGCATGTCAACCCATAAAAGCCTCAGGTTTGGTTAAATTGTTTTCAACTAACTAAAGGCAAATATAGGGTTTTTTTCGCAGCCAAAAATACATTCTAAAAGCACATTAGGTGTTGTACAACCCAAAAGGAGTTTTGCTCAACTCTCATTAGAGTTGATTTTGACATTCGCAGATGAAGGAACGTTTGAGAATATGATTCCCATGTTATCCTTTAAAAAGAACACGTGATAAATTTATTATCAAGAGGCAAATATGGTAACTCGAAATCCAAAGTTCTTCCTCCTGATAAGCTCAAACACACAGACGTCTCCTTCCTTCACACCGTTGGCCCTGGCGAAACGGATCCAACCCTTCCCTATTCTGATTGATCCGGCGCCTGCTCTGTGAAAATTGATCGCCCATTTTTGTCCATTAGAATCCTGCAGCTTCATAGGACTAATTTTTCCCACATGAACTCTCCAAAATAAAGCCGGCACATTCTGCATGTAAGCAACAGAGAATTGATATGATAACAGAGTGAGAAAGAATCATAAACATTCCTCACCAGATAACGACGAGTCAGATTTCTTCGCCCTATTAATGCAGTAAAAGATGGATTTTCTGGTTTGAAATTCTGGGCAGCTTCCATAGCGCTTTGCTTTCTTCTCGAGGTGTTCTTCATTTTGGAACAACGGCCTTGCCTAGATCTATCTTTCTCTCTCTCATGCTTTCTTGAGTTCTCAATCTCTTGCCCAGATCTATCTTGTTTCCCGATTTACCATCGCTCAATGCATTGTCATCCTCTACATCAATTATTTCTTCTTGATCTTCCAGCTTATGTTTCTTGCTCCTTGTGTTGTAGCCACTGTGATCAAAGCTGGATGACCTTTTCCTATGGCGTTCAGATGCCGAGTTCTGCTTCTCAAAGTTAGTTTTGCATGGATAGTAATCTCAGCGCCACTCACATCAAAGATCACCACACTGAACTGTGAATTGCCTTCATACTTAAACACAAGAAAGAAGCCAAAACTAATAGAGTAGTATTTCACAAACTCCTGCCAACCTTTGCAGAAGCAAACCTCGTTTTCCGATTTCTCCAGTTCCATTTTCCAAGCAAGACCATCTGGAACACCAATTGTTGCCTCACTAGACAGTCCATTCTCAAATCTTCTTACAAACTCGTTTGGGATTCTCTGCATGGTCATTCCTCTAATTAGTTAGATTTTCTGAATGGATTCTCTCGACTTCCTCTAAGTGAAGTTCGGATCCAGAGAAAAGGTTTTCCTTTTGGTTACAAGAGTTGAATCCCTTGAATAGTTGACATTCTCTACCATTAATCACTCCATATAATAATAAAAAGCTGAGTACTTCACATGAATCTTTAAAACCAGTTATAAAAAAGTTTAATCATTGGAAAAGTCGAGCTCTCCATAGCCATGTAGAATAAAATGGTTCTATTAATTGGTTATAATTTTCCTCTTTGGTTTCAGGTGCATGAGGCAAAATTCAGAAGGAAATACAGGTTTCAGAGATGTTCACTAAAACGAAAATTACATTACAAAATAAAAAGATAACTTATTTTGGATGATAAAACACACGGCACGAATTTGAAACTTGAATCGAAAACAAACAGACAGAGCACAAGTTTTTCCAGCTTAATTGTTGAAGCAACCGGCAATCACATCCTCTTATTCTCAGATAGCTACAGATCAATCTTAGGAGTGCCTATATTGTTTTCTATATTTCACTAGAACACCAAGAAATAACTCGCACCTCATTCCAAGTCCTACACAATAACACCAAATTTTTTTTATTTTTTCTATCATTTTCATTCAAGAAACTTTCTCTGGATTTCTTTCATTTCGCTTGGCACTAAAAATGTATATAGAAACTATTATAAGAGCTGAGTACTAGTAAGATCCACGGATTAAACATTGTGCATGAAGCAGCTGGTGCATATTTCTGCATTTTCTCCGCTCAGTGTAAGGCCATTAAAAAAAAGCAGAGGTTACCATGGTTTGGGTATGAATCGTTCCGGGAAGTATGATCTTGAAGAAGTGGCCGGTTACAGCATTAGCCGGACAAACCGATGGCCGGACAAAGGTTCTCCGGCGACGTCTCGACCTCATTGACGGAGTGCGCACTGTCCAACAGGGGTTGGGTCAATCAAGTTTAATTACTTCACTCTCCTGTCAATCAAGTTCACCAGTTTTTTCTTACTTTTCTCTCTCTCTCTCTCTCTGTTTTCTTTTTTCTCTTTAAATATCGTAAATAAAATGCATTTAATTATATTATTAAAATAATCTTAAAAATAAACTGACAAGCGGCTAGTTATGATAAATTTAAAATAGAGAAATCTTAGGGCAAAGATGAATTCTTCAAAAAAAAAAAAACTAATAATATTATACCTTTGTGTGTTTGTGTGTGTGTGTGTGTGTTGTGTGGGTGGGGGGGGGGGTATCAATATATTTCAAAAGGTGATTAATATAAAATATATGACTGGAGGTAGTAGTATTATTCACAAGGTCGATATTACTATTAGTATACCTATTTTGGCTATAAAAGAAAGAGGTAGTATTATATCTATGATTCACGAATGGGCAAAATATAATTTTATAAAATTGAAGTTGAGCTACATTATCAATTTATCATCACTTACATTGATTGGATCAGGAAAAAAAATAGAAAAAGAGAGAAAATTAAAAGAAAAACTTCTTGAAATAATAATTTTTTTTACTATTTTGAAAAAAAATTTCTCCTAGTTTTTCTAATCATTTTTCCTCCACCCAAACCAACCCTTAATCAAATTCATTTTTATACTTTCTTCTGTCTATATTCCGTGCATGCATGTATAGAACCACAGGTATAGGTTTATTTTCAAGTCTAATTTGTGTCCCCAAATCGCTCGCGTGGAAAAGCATCAACAAGGCTTTGCTCTATTTGCTCTCTTGGGATCAAAGAGAGCTAGAAAAATGAATTAGGTCTCACAACCCCGCATATCAACTCATAAAAGTCGCAGGTTTGGTTAAAGTTTTTTCAACTAACTTACTTAAGGCAAGTCTAGAGCTTTCTTGTTTTCATTTTTCACAATTAAAAATACATACTGAAAGCACATTAAGTGTTTGATCTCTTTTCAGTTTTAGTTTCAAAAATGTGTTGTACAACCCAAATGGACTTTTGCTCAACTATCATTAGAGTTGCTTTTGACATTTGCAGATGAGCATTTGAAAATATGATTCCCATATTATCCTTCAAGAGAACACGTGATAAATTTATTATCAAGAGGCAAATATAGTAACTTGAAAAACAAAGTTCTTCCCCTTGCTAAGCTCAAACACACACGTCTCCTTCCTTCACATTGTTGGCCCTGGCGAAACCGATCCAACCCTTCCCTATTCTGATTGATCCCGTGTATCTACGAAGATTGATCGACCATTTTTGTCCAGTAGAATCCTGCAGCTTTATAGGACCAAGTTTTCCCATATAATCTCTCCAAAATAAAGCCGGCACATCCTGCACATGAGCAAGACAGAATTGATCCTTGAGCCATGAATTAACAGAATGAGAAAAAATCACATTCATAGCCCATAAGCATTTCTCACCAGAAAAAGGAGTCAGATTTCTTCGCCGTATTAATGCAGTAAAAGATGGATTTTCTGGTTTGAAATTCAGGGCAGATCCTATAGCACTTTGCTTTCTTCTCAAGGTGTTCTTCATTTTGGAACAACGTCTTTGCCTAGATCTATCTTTCTCTTTCTCATGATTTCTTGAGGACTCTATTTCTTGCCCAGATCTATCTTTGTTTCCCGATTTACCGTGGCTCAATACATTGTCATCGTCTACATCAATTATTTCTTCTTGATCTTCCAGCTTATGCTTCTTGCTCCTCGTGTTGTAGCCATTGTGATCAAAGCTGGATGACCTTTTTCTACGGCGTTCAGATGCCGAGTTCTGCTTCTCAAAGTTAGTTTTGCATGGATAGTAAATCTCAGCGCCACTCACATCAAAGATCACCACACTGAACTGTGAATTGCCTGCATATTTAAACACAAGAAAGAAGCCAAAACTATAGAGTAGTATTTCACAAATTCCTGCCAACCTTTGCAAAAGCAAACCTCGTTTTCCGATTTCTCCAGTTCCATTTTCAAAGCAAGACCATCTGGAACACCAATTGTGGCCTCACTCGACAGTTCATTCTCAAATCTTCTTACAAACTCCTTTGGAATTCGCTGCAGGGTCATTCCTCTAATTACTTTGATATTCTGAATTATGAGATTAATTATATCAATGGAGGTAAGAAATACAAATGATATGTCTGTGGTTGGTACTTGATGAATGGATTCTCTCAGCTTCCCCGCTATGAAGTTCGGATCCAGAGAAAAAGAAAAGCTTTTCTTTTTGGTTACAACTTACAAGAGTTGAATCCCTTGAATAGTTGACATTCTCTACCATTAATCACTTGATATAATAATTAAAAGCTGCTTCACATGAATCTTAGAAACCTGGTATAAAAAAAGTTTGATCATTGGAATAGTCGAGCTCTCCATAGCCATGAAGAATAAAATGGTTCCATTAATTAGTTAGAATTTTCCTTTTTGGTTTCAGGCGCATGAGGCAGAATTCAGAAGGAAATACATGTTTCCGAGATGTTCACTAATATATAGTCTTTAATCACAAATGAAAACTACATCACAAAATAAAGAGATAACTTATTTTGGATGCTAAAACATATCATGGACTTGAATCGGGGAAAAATAAATAAACAGACAGACAGAGCCCTAAGTGTTCCTGAAACAGAGCACTAACTTTTCCAGCTAAATTCTTGAAGAAACTGACAATCGCACCTTCTTATTCTCAAACAGTTAAAGGACAACTTCTGAGTGTCTATACTGTTTGCTATATTTCACTAGACCGCCAAGAAGTAACTCGCATCTCATTCCAAATCATACGCAATAACCCCTAATTTTTTATTATTTTTTCTACCATTGCCATTCAAGAAGATTTCTCCGGATTTCTTTCATTTCGCTTGGTATAAAAAGTGCATGTAGCAACTAATAGGAGAAATGAGTAGGATCCACAAATTGCACAGTGTATAAAGCGGCAGGTGCATTTTTCTCCATTTTCTCAGCTCAATGCAAGCAAAAAAAAAAAAAGCGGAGCTTACCATGTCTTGAGTATGAATCGTTCCGGAAAGTATAATCTTGAAGAAGCGGCTGGGTTCAGCATTAGATAGAGAAACCGATGGCCGGACAAAAGTTCTCCGACGAAGCCTCGATTTCGACCTCATTACGTGGCAAGTCTCTTTCGGCACTCGTGCTTCGCTCCCTAGTCAAGTTCACCATTTTTTCTTTCTTCTCTTCTCGCTGCTTGTTCAACGTCGTTTTCACATTGCCAGAGTTAAGAGGCAAATTTACGCATAAAATAATCATCTGGGAGCATTCAATATCATAAAATAAAAAAAAATATATAAATATTTGTAACATCATATAAGTAAGTGTAAAAATGATTAAATTATTAACTTTATTCTAACGATGTTAGTTTTTAGTATTAAATGCTGACTGTGTCAGTTTTTATTAACATAGACTAAAAAAAAGATAAAAATACTCTCGAAGTGATCATCCAGGAGTATCTAGTAGCTTAAAATAAAAAAAAAGAATAAAAATACTCATAATATTATCAGAGTCGATGCAAAAGTAATCAATTTATCAAATTCTTTAAATATTTACCGTTTAGCTAACACTTAATTAAAAGTTTATCATTTTTTCGCTGATGTAGATAAAAAATATTTTCAGGTGAATTTCTAAGGAGGTTGATCGATTACAGTGTGAATACCTATAATGTTATTTTAGTAAGTGTAATAGTGACCAGTTTGTCAAACTCTAAGATTCAACATAATGAGATAAGTTGTACACAATCAAAAATCGAGAGTAAGCACGCCTCCTACGCCACCCTACCTTAAGAATAATGTCATATTCTTAAGCAATATCATTCATAATGGGTTCAGAATTTCCAAATGGTTGTCGCCATTGCTACAAAGAAGCGAGCAATTTAATTTGATGTTTGGTCAAAATGATATTTTCTTGCACAATATTCATACGATGAGTAATTATCCTCTTTATAATTTCACCTAAGAACATTTTTTTTCACATCAGCGAAAAATGGTCAACTTCTACTTAGGTATCAATTAATTAAATGGTTAACATTTAAAAGATTTGATAAACTGATCACTTTTGCATCAACTCTAATAATATTATAAGCATTTTTATCTTTTTTACTTTAAATTACTGAATGCACCTAATTGACTGCTTCATGGGTATTTTTGCCCATTTTTATTCCATGTCAGTAAACACTGACAGGTGACATACACAATCAACATTTAATATCGAAAACCAACACTATTAGAACAAAGTTAATAGTTTAGTCATTTTTACACTTACTTATGTAATACTATTGATATTTATGTTGCTTTCCTCACTTTATGATATTGGGTATTTCTGAATAATTATTTTATGTATAGGTTTACCCTTTAACCCTTTAAAATAAACCCATATTCCGTTGCATTGCTTTTTAAAAATGACAAGGCTAGATGTAAAAGAGGAAGCAAGAAGTATATATTGTAAATAAGTACTCTAACCATCCAAAAAATCTTATCACGATTCTAAATTATCATGTGAATAATATTCTGAATTTTAAATTTTTAAAATATAGAAAAACTTTTCTTAACTTCTAAATGTTAAGTGTCCGAGACTTATGTGTTAAGTTGAGAAAATGATCATTACTTTTATAGTTATAAGACTTAATTACATACTGATGCGGCACTCATTTTGACTCTTAAAAATAACAATCATTTTTTCTAACTTAATAATGAGATTTCAAGCATTCAAAATTTAGACATTGAGGAAAGTTTTTGCATGTTCTAAAAGTTTAGGATTCAAAATACTCATTAATCCTTAATTATATTATTAAAATAATCTTTAAAAATAAAATAACTTTCTAAATTGCCCATATTTTAAAATAAAATTTTTTAAAAAAGGAAAACCATTCAGAGTTATAAATAAAGATAAATTTATAAAAAAAACCTAATTAATACTCTATCTTTAAATATATATATATATATAACTAAAAAGTGACTAATATATATGATAATTAAGAAATTCATACATACACCCGTCATGCCATATCATGTAGCTGTAAATATAAATTAATTATGCTTTGATGATGATATAGAGAGGAAAGATAAAAAAAAATTAAAGAGACACCATATTTTAAAAATAAATAATTATAAATAATGATACTTAAAATTTTATTTGATTGAAATTATGTTATTTTATTGAATAGTTTACAAAAGCTTCTCATGATCATCAAAATGTTTTAAAAGGTGATTGACACAATATATAGAATTTGAGGAAGTATTATTATTTACTAGATTTTGAGTTTGAGCTTTAAAGAATGTAAAAAATATTTTTAGTAAAGCTATCTTTAATTAAATTCAATTATACTTGAATCTTATATAGTGAAATAGTCATATAAAAAAATTATTACCATCATCATTTTTATTGTACCTATTTTGGCAAAAAAGAAAAGAAAAGAAAGATATTGTTTTACCTATGATTCTCCCATGGACAAAATACGGCTTTATAAATTTTCAAGTGAGCTGCATTATCATCATTTAAGAATCAAATTAATTTTTATACTTTTCTCTGTCTATTTACCATGCATGTAAGTATAGAACCACGGTTATAGTTATTTTTCCCAATCTAATCAGTCTCCAAATCGTTAATGCGTGGAAAAGCCGCGACAAGGTTTTGCTCTATTAGAATTAAAGAGAGTTAGGAAGATGAATTATATCCCATGAACCAGCACATCAGCTCACTGAGATTTGGTTTGAATGGGAGGAAAATGAAAGGAGAATAAAAAAGAGAAAATATTAGGAATAAAAACTTCTACAGACTATATGATGGACCCCATGACACGGGTGACATAGCATTAATGGCAACGAAACTTGAGGATGGTAATCATAAGCATGGTGATATAGAAGGAGCCAAATACTTCCAATCCAACGTACCTAAAGACCCATTACAACACATTGGAGGTCCAATGAAAAGAGCCCGAACTAAAGCCATGAAGCAAGCCTTGTTCAGTCTTGTGCAAGAAGTTCAAAAGCTTGGAAAGCATTGGGGAACTCTTCTCAAGCCCAAAGGAGAGCATCTATACGTGTATAATGTATTTAAGATCCAAACTTATGAAGAGTCAAGCCCAAGAAATGCAGACCTTAGCCCAATGCAAGGAAGACTACAAGTTGAGCCTCTTGCAAGCAAGGAGGCATGAAACCCTAGTGAAAAAGTCAAGGGTGACATGATTTTAAATCCTTTATGATCTCTTGATTGTCTCCTAAATTATTTCCTCTTTTAATGGTCATTTGATTTGATTTTCTATTTTGAGTCTAGTCAAAGGTTAAAATTAATTATAGTATTAATTTATAAATTTTGTAATCCCATAATTTTAGGATCACATCTCCTAAATTATGTGGCTGAATATTTTATCATTATTTTATATTATTTCTCCTTTTAGTATTAGGAAATTAGGGTTTTAATTTTAGGAAATATTTTTTTCTATGAGCCTATATAAATTAGGCATGCTCCCTATTATAAACGACACAGAAGTTGAATGAAATTATTCATTTTAGAGTTTATAACTCTTGTGAGCCTTAGTGCTTTGTGGTGGTATTTCGTATGAGAAACAGACGTGATCAATTTTTGTGGTGTCTTCGAAAGTTGAGGTTCCTAGAGGCAGGTGCTTTAGAGGATCTTCGCCTTGATCATTATCCTATTGTTTACTTCATACCTTTTTTTATTTCCGTCATAAATTTCGTCCCTTTCTTTTTGTTCTTGTGTTTTTGTTGTTTCAGAGTTCTGTCCCCAAACTAGCACGACTCTGTTTCCGCGTCCCCTATCACTATAATTTTTTTACCATTTTTGAAACTCTTCTTTTTGAGTATTTATTCCTTTCTAATTTTCTTTCTATCCAAATTAAGGGTTAAAGTCACTGGTTTGGTAAAAGTTTTATCAACTAATTAACTTGAATGTGGTGTAATACAAGGGTTGTTGGTTTTCAATTTTTTTAAGGGAGAATGACAATTAAGGACATTCTAAGAACATTAATTTCAATTACGAATCATGAAATTTTGAAATCTCAATTAAGGACCATGGACCTTAATTATGATAAAAAAATGTAGTCTGTGAGATGGGATTCACTATTGTCATTTAGAAATTCACGAACCCAACTTGAGAAAATTACTAACATATATTATGAAAATATGAAACCTCACTTGGGAATAGAATGTTTAACAAAAAGCGCTATTTAAGAATTCACTAATTAGACTTGAAAAAATTTCTAACATATATTATGAAAAAATGAAACCTACTTGAGAATCAATTGTTTAATAAAAAATGACTTGTCCAGATTAGTATTTTTTATTAAACAATCGATTACCAAGTGAAGTTTCATGTTTTCACAATATATGTTAGAAATTTTTTCAAGTCGAGTTAGTGAATTTTCAAGTGGTGCTTTTTGTTAAACAATTAATTTTCAAGTGGATTTTCATATTTTCACAATATACATTACAAATTTTCTTGAGTTGGGTTAGTGAATTCTCAAGTGACAATAATGAATTCCACCTCACGGACTACATTTTTTATCATAATTAAGGACCATGATCCTTAACTGAGATTTCAAAATATCATAGTTCATAATTAAGATTAATGTTTTTAAAATGTCCTTAATTATTATTCTCCATTTTTTTAAAATACGTGGCTATGAAAAACTCACCCAAAGAATATATATATATATATATATATATATATATAGTTATATCAAAATACATGATATTTTTACACCTAGTCACCGGCTCATCAAAGATTGTTAAATCAATATTATCGCTAGATACTCAGTTAGCAAATGTACTAGCACATCTATTTACTTCCATGGCTTTCAATTTTTTTGTTTGTTGTAAGTTTTAGTCTGAAACTAGCATCTACTTCCTGTGCAGGGAGCATATACTTTATGATTAATATAACTAAAGTAAGAGATTATATTATTGTATTCAATTTACGTTTATACTTGATAAATTAAATTATAATGTTTACAAACAAACAATATGTTAAAAATACCATCATTCAATATAGATTATAACTCATTCAATTTTATAATTTGTTATCTGATGCATTTTTAAAAAAGGGATGATAAAATTTGCTTCAATAATAATCTAGTCTTTTAAGTTTGCCTTAATAATAATTTAGTCCTTCAAGTTTGCCTCAATAATAATTTACTTTTTTAAATTTATTATTTGAAGAAGAGGTAACATATTGTTAAAATTTGCTAATATATATGACAAATATTGAATTGATAGCCACATATATTAATGATAAAATTAAATTGACTTGAATGAAAATTTGTTCTCATTCAACCATATGCAATATGTTAGGTTATCAGCATGCTTTATATGTTAAATTAATTTATGGGTCAATTTTTATTTCAAAACCTAAAAGATTAAAGTAACAATTTAAGAAGGCGTAAGGAATTATATTGATAAAAATTAAACTTAAAAAAAATAAAGTAATAATTAAGCAAATTTGAGGGACTTAAATTTTCATTTTCTTTTTGAAAATAAACAATGTACTTTATTTTAAAATTCATTACCCCATGGATATTAAATATATGAATATCAACTTATTATAGTTTAAAATTTATTATGCAAGATAACAAATAAAAATACATCTTATGCATAAAAATAAAATAAAAATTTGTTTTATCTTATAATTTATTTCCCTGTGCGTCTAGATCTAAATTTAAATGGATGTAGACTTGAATTTTTATAATTTGTAACCTTATAATTCTATTTTAAGTTTTCAATTTATATTTTTATTATGCATTTGATATTTAACATTTACAATAAAAAAGTTAGATAGTATTATATGATAAAATATCTTACAACAGCTAAATTAAATTAAATAATTGTTATCATATCACATGTGATACTTATTAAGTGATATGATTTATTTCAGTCATTAAATTCAAGTACGATATACCTCACAGAATCACTATGACACTATACTTCTATCATATATAATTCATTGACAAATTTTATTATATATTTTCTCAATTTTTAAATATAAGAAAATTTTTTATATGGTTTGTTGTTATTTTTTATAAGAAAAAAATAATTTTCAAAAAGTATTTATGACATCTTTTCTTAATTATTCTTCATTAAATGATAGTATCATCAAACTAGGAAAACATAAAATGTTAATAACAAATACATTTTAATCCAAACTTTTTAATTTTAGACATAATAATTAAAATTAAATAATTTTTTAAACTATATGAATTGATTAAAATTTACTTACATATAAAATGAATGGGAATAAGTTGATTAATTTAAAAAATAAAATATTCTATTTTATAATTTATTATTTAAATTTGTATGTTTTATACAATTAATTATATAATACATATACAAAATACAAGCAACAACCGATGAATCTCTTACATTTGTCAAAAAAAAAAAAGATCTCATGCATATTTTTGTTTTCTGCGAGACTCATATTTACAAACATTTTTTATTATGAGTTTCACACTTATTTTTTTAATTTATATGTTACATGCAATTAATTATCCGATACATGTACACAATATAAATAATAAATGATAAATTTCCTACATTTATAAATGAAAAATCATAGTACCATTTATGAAACTGTTCATTTAATTGTAAATGAACAGTATCATAAACGCACTTTATTATATATATTAATAATTAATGATATATGCTATCTAATGGGGTGGGTTGGGGTGAAAACTATTATTTTCATTTTGATTTTTTAGATATTCTCCCTCCATCTTTAAATATAAAAAGTTATTAAAATATTTTTAATAAATAAATTATCACAGTCTTATTAAATTAAAAAAATAAATATTTTTATTAATTTATTTTAAAAAAAATTTTATTTTTTATTTATAATAATTAAAGGCAACATTAAAATATTATTGTACTTTTGATTAAATAATTAATTTTTATTAATTTGTGTGATGTGATAAAAAATATTTTATATATAAAGATTAAGAGAGCAACAATTAAAAAAATATTTATTTTAAAAAATTTATGAATAATATATTTAATATATTTTATTTTGGTTTTGTATATATATTTTATGTTAAGTATATTAATGACCATTATCCCATCGATTCTACAAAGGAAAAAATTTGATGTCAACTCGGTCTCTGAAGTCTGGACATCTTCAAAGATAAAATTAGGATGGGAAGAATCTAAGGAAACTAGGATGGGAAGAAGCGAGAGCAACGTCTTACTGAACTGACGCGTGACTATTCTTCAGAGCCTACCTTAAACCCTAATTTTCATAATACTGCCTGCTGCTCTGTTCAAGTTCTTGGTTGTTATCTCCAATGGAGGAAGAAAATTTGGATACCCCCAAATCCGTACTTTACGAGACCCTGAGTCCCTTCTATCTTTCAACCCCCGACCAGTCACCAGTTCCCGATGAACTAGAGCCCTATACTGTTTTCCGGAACGAAATTTCTCTGTCGACCCTTCAATCTCCTTCGCCGGAGACTTCTGCCCCCGATTTCTTTTCTCTCGAAGTTGGCACTGATGAGGCTTCTGAGCGAGAATCCCTCTCTTTCCAATTGCCTGAACCAGCTGCAGCTACTGAGCCGAAGACGCCGGCTCTCGTGTCTGAGCCAAAGCTTGAGAGCAGCTGGTTTCGCGGAAACTGCAAATTCAGGAGTCCCATGCTTCAACTGCATAAAGGTATCTAATTGACTGTTTTTTTTTTTTAAAAAAACTTTTTGGGTTTGTTTCTCCGTAAGGGGAAAAAAAAACAGTTGACGCTGGCAGCATTTGCATTTGCATTTGCTTGGGATTATAACCTTGATCTTATCTTTTGACTGTCTCCTTTCCGTTGTGTTCATATTATTGTCAGGTTCAGTAGTTTCAAGTTTTTTCTTTACCAGACAAATAAAATCTATACTGAATTTTTTTTTTATTCTGGGGGCAAATTGGCGAGGGAACTACTATGAAGAGAATCATAATAGATAGGTTGGGAGTACTTATATTTCCATGTGCAAAACTAAGGGGGATTTCTAAATTGCAGAATATTCCCTTGAGGCTTGTGTAAAACTAATTTAGCCTCACTTAGGCCTTTTCTGGCGAGGGAACTTGAATTCGGATGCAATTTTATCTTAGTTGTGACGTTTGGCAGGAAAAAAATTCTGTGCAACTTGCAAAACTATACTCAGAAATATTACAAGGTCTTGTTCATTTGAGTACTGACTTTATTGAAAAATTTGGATTCAGGTTCGACTGATGTTTAATTTCATCCTTGTTTTCATTCTTTTTTTCCTTTCTAGACAAGGTGACCGGTAATACCATCGCTTCCTCTAAACTCCAGTTACTCTACCTATCTAGATTTTCTAGTCTTTTTATCATATCAAGGACTGGTTTACTGCAATTTTTTTCCTTCATAAAGCGATTTCTCAAACTGAGAGTTACTTTTTAAGCTTCTGGCAAAATTTGAGAGAGTTAATCTTACCCAGTTTAAGAGAGAAAATAGAAGCCTTTGACTTAAAATCTTGGACAGTTGGAAGCTGCTGTTGTTAGACTCGAGATGTTTGATACTTTTGGAATTTATGCTCTCTGGTTCTCAAAATTGTCACTTTGGGTTTTTTTAATACGGACCAAGAAAATCATTAAATAATTTGGATTATAGCGAAAATTTAATAGCCTTTTACTAAATGTTCGACTTGAAAACTCTCTTAAATACCCTATTTGAGTATTTGTTATGTACTTCTATTAAAATGAATACCCTAATTACCAATATTTTTGTTGGTGAAGGGTAAAATAGTAAAAATAATAACTAATAATTTGTTGAAATTCTGAAGCAACAAATATTTTGAAGATCACAAAATCTTCAAAGTGACAATTTTTTTTTTTTTGTGAACTGGAGGGAGTATTATTCTATTAAAGTTGTACTTTGCAGTTAAACATACACCTGCTAGTAGGATGATAATATTCTTTTTGGTAAATAGTCTGAGGATAATAATAAGCCCTTAAATGTGTGAGTTGGCTTCAGCTTCTGTAAATCCTGTGTTTGGTCACAGGTGGATAATAATTTGACAAGGCATGAAATGTGAGAGGAAGTTGTTTAGTGCAAAGTGTTAGTAATATTTTATTCTATCTGATTTTCTAACGTGTCTTGGAATATTTGGTGTACAGAGATAGTAGATTTTTGTGAATTTTTGTCACCTACTTTGGAAGAAAAAGCTGCACGTGACGTGGCAATAGAATCTGTGTTTCAAGTGATAAGACATATATGGCCTCATTCCCAGGTATTGCTAATTGCTTTCTTTTGTTATCTCCATTTATTGACGTTATTATTGCATTGAGTTTAATCATTCATGTGGAGTATTGAGATGTAGTGAATTTGCGTATAATTATTACTGTCAGGTTGAAGTTTTTGGGTCTTTCAGGACTGGGCTATATCTTCCAACTAGTGATATTGATGTAAGTTTTGTTGCTTCTCTGGTACTAAAATATATAACTTGTTCATATTTTGAAGTTGCTTTGTTGTGATCAAATTTCTTAGTCTAATCCTTCAATTTAGGTTGTGATTCTGAAGGCAGGCTTGCCAAGTCCACAGCTTGGCCTAAATGCACTTTCTCGGGCATTTTCACAGAGGGGCATGGCGAAAAATATCATGGTCTGGCTCTCTCAGCTTAAATATGAGCATTGTCATGGCTGAGAAAATATATCAACACTTTTTTTTTTTAAAAATTATGTGCTGGATATGTTTCTTGCCAATTTCACACAGGTCATTGGAAAGGCTCGAGTGCCAATTATTAAATTTGTTGAAAAGAAAAGTGGTCTTTCATTTGATATAAGGTATACTTATCTCCTTAAGTTTGGGTTCTAAAATTACTCTCTTGATTTATCATTATATCTTTTCTTTTTCTTTTTCTCATCTTGATGGAGTTTTCATATAATCTGATTAATAATAGTTGAATGTGTTCTTTACTTCTCTTCAGCATATGTGATATTAGATGAGCTGTTTAGCTTGCAACTTATATCTTCTGTTAACTTTATTTAATTATGAAAGCATGCTGTCGAATATTGACCTAAGGAAGTTCCATTAAGAATACTGAAGTATGGTTTTGTGCACTTGCATTGCATATTAAGGGATGGGATGGATTTTTGTTCCATGCGTGATACGCATGTTCCATCTGAAGCTCCCAGGGCCCTTTGGTAGGATATAATAGTTACATACTAGAGGATCAAAAATCTGGATTCACTTTGCCTTATTTGCAGTTCCATTAGGAGTCTTTTTTTCTCTCCATTTAAGTTTAATAATTCTCAGATGCCTATAGGCAATGGCTTGTGTAATCTCACAATACTATGTAATCTTATCATACCAGTCACTAAAATTAGTTTGACAAGCCATGCCCATATTATTCTGATACAGATGCTTTGCTTGCTTTCTTATTTATAGATGCATGGTTGCCTCTATTATCTCCATCTTGGATTGTCATATTGCTCGTTATTGTGCAAATAGTTGCAATCAAAGTTTGAAATCCATTTTAATATTATTTTCTTACTGACTCTATATGCTGTGGTTCAGTTTTGATGTGGATAATGGACCCAAGGCTGCTGATTATATTCAGGTTTGTCCACTATTTTCCACCTTCTGGTCTGAATATGATTTTTTCCCACCTTTCTGCTTTACCCAAATGGAGAGTATATGATAGTCTTTGATGTGGCTGCGAGAGGGTTGATTATTCTGTGTTATGGAACATTTTTAGATGCTTGTTCATGTGGATTTATTGTTATGGTTGACCTTGCAGGAAGCAGTGGCTAGATGGCCCCCATTACGGCCTTTATGTTTGATTTTAAAAGTGTTCTTGCAGCAAAGAGAACTAAATGAGGTCTGTGGTCACTTGGATTTTTTCCCCTCTCCTTGTGATCCGTGTTCTCGTTTATCTGATTGAAGATTTTTTTTTTTAATTATGCAGGTATATTCTGGTGGGATTGGTTCTTATGCTCTCCTCGTCATGCTTATGGCAATGCTACGAGTAAGTGATTCTAAAATTTGCTTTTAACATTCTCTTTGGTTCTAGCTTGCTTATCAGTGTTCACATGCAGCTACCTCATTCAGCATATGTTCTACCTGTTGGCCGACAGTAATAAATCATGAATTGGTCTTTTTTCTTGAATAGTGGAGTGTACTATTGAGCACTGCATAAAACATCTGACAATTCATTTCCCAATGATTTATCCTGCTCTCCTACATGGTGTTATTGTATGTGCTACAGAATGTCCGAGAGAGCCAAGTATCTGCAGAACACAACTTGGGAGTCCTTTTGGTATGTATCTTTGAACAGAATTTTATTTGATTCATGGGTGTGAATGGGTAGCTAAAGGGTGTCTTGAGGGATTCTTCCTGTTTTTAGTTTGCTTTGTTTCAATATTGCCAATATTTCTAAAAAAGTATGAATTATAGTCCTAATTTGAATTTGTGTTTACAAGCCCCCTTTGGGGGACACAAAGCAAGGAGTATATTTAAAGTTTACATTTGGATTCTCTGATCTTATTTTTTTTTTTCTTGGTCGAAAATTAGGTGAAATTTTTTGATTTTTATGGACGTAAATTGAACACTTCAGATGTTGGTGTCTCGTGCAATGGGACAGGCACATTTTTCTTGAAGAGCAAGAAAGGGTAATAATAAGAATATACATATGTTTGCAAGGTGATTGGTTACATCTGACTATCTTGTGCATTAAACATAATGTATTTCCCTTTCTCATTTCTCAGGTTTTTAAACAAGGGTCGACCGAGTCTTTTGGCAATTGAGGATCCCCAGGTATTCATTGAAGATTCGTTTTATTTTGTTCAGTCCTAACAGCTTTTTTGAAACAAAAAGTTGTGTACCCCTCCCTCCCTTTTTACTATAATCTCCTCAATTAACCTTAATTTAAAATTCTTTGATGGAGAGTATTTTAGTAAAGAAAGATTAAGGTTAGACTAAAATGCATATTTTAAAATTAAAAGGTTGATCTGTTTAATTCAAGTAAAACTCTGGGAGATCTCTGTGATTTACTCTAGCTTTTATGGTTAAATTTTCCTCCTCTATTTTATTTATAGTAACTTTTTTACAAATTTTTTGAAAAGAATTTTTAAATACAAATTAAAGTTATGCTGTAACGTGACTGTTTTTAAAGACACTGTTTATTATCTCTATTATGAAAATTGGAGTAAATCCATCAAAACTAGTGAACTGGTGCTAGAACTGATCTGGAATTTCACAGGGCAGGTAAAAAAGAAGACCAGTAAAAAAAAAAAAATAGTCTAATGTTGAGTAAGCATTATTCTTGTATATAACTAGTTATATATTTACTTAATAAATGCTATGATGATGGATTATTTAGTTGACAGCTTTGAGTTCAATAGATAATTATGGATGAAAGTCAAGAAATTTAGTAGGAATAGCTTTTTTAATTTAATATTTAATGTATAAAGTTGAAAGTATTTAGTGTATTGCTACTTCGATTATGGTTCAATTACAGCCGAGCCATTGAACAGATCAATGATTAGTTGGGTTTTATAAACTTTGGTTATTATTATTGGCGTGGTTGATTGACTAAAGTTGCCCTTCTGGCTGACTTAGGCAGCCGAGAATGACATTGGAAAGAACTCGTATAATTATTTCCAGGTTTGTTTCTTTTCCCATTTCTTGGTGCATGGTGTGTATGATATTATTTTTAGAAAATAATTTTTTCTGGGTAAACAAGGGTTGATTACATCCTAAACATTAATACCGGGAAGTGAAGTCCCAGTTACATCCGAAAGAACAAGAACTCTAACACAGACAGGGACTTCTTTAGAGGATAATTTTTAATGCATAAATTGGTGAAGCCGAATTTATCTTAAAAAAAGAAAGTGGGAAATGGAATCTTCCTGTTTTAAATGTCATTATGTTAAGATGGCATTGAGTTTCCTATTCCTCATCCTTGCTTATTTTTTCCCCTTAGATGTATGGTTCATTATGTCATTCCCTGAAACTATGACAGTCTTTTGTGGAATATGAAATTCATGAACTAGTCGCTCTCTTATGGGGATTTTGTTCTTGCAAGTTATATACATATCTGAAAGTCGTTGACATAATAACCCTTGAGTGGTACCTTACTTTTGCTCCACTTTACCCTTTGATCATGTCCTATTACCCTGGTAGTTTGTTGGGAATCGTGTGCCCCTTTGTGTTGCATTATCTTAAATCGGCATGCTTACCTATGAATGCTGGAAAACTATCTTCATTTGCTGCACAATTTTGTGAGAAATTTAAATGCTGTTTGAATGGCTGGCATGGGGTTGCATCAAACTTAATCTGCAAAGCTCTCTGTTAGTCTGTTTCCTTTTTCCTATTGGTTTGAAGGCTGAACGTTCAAACTATTGCACCTATCTTTTTCACTGACCGATCCTTTTTCCTCTTGACCCATCCTTTTCACTGGAGCAATGTGGTTTATTGGTATACTTGCCGATTTTCTCTGCCAGGCAGGACTGTAATTTAGCTCTTTTGCAGGTTAGGTCAGCTTTTGGGCTGGCTTTCAAAACGCTGACCAATCCCAATATCATCCTGAGCTTAGGCCCTAAAAGAAGTATTCTTGGAACTATAATTAGACCAGACCCTGTCTTGCTGGAGCGTAAGGGGGGTTCAAATGGGGACGTAACTTTTGCTGCCTTGCTTCCCGGAGCAGGCGAGCCATTACAAGTACAATGTGGAGATCACGATATCTTAGGTAACTGGGATATTGATGATGAAGAATCCTTGCCTCGGGGAGGAGATTCTGCTGGGGATAAAAGCACTTCAGGGAAGAAGAGAAAATCTTCATTTAGGGAAAATCCCAAAAAGAAGCTAAAAGAAAATGGGCATTTGGGAATGGTGCGGAATGAAGAGAATGTCTCAGGGAAAGAGAACGGCAGTAAGAAGAAGAGTAGGAGAAAATCATGATGAAGCGATAATTTGTTTTGAAAGTTGACCTCAAGTGTTTTGAGATTTTTAACCTTCAAAATGAGGCATATAGATCTCAATCTGGTCCGTGTAACAGTAGCTAGAGTGAGGCACACTTGTGCACCTGGAAGTCCCAAGTCATTTCAAATGACTCCTGGATGCGAGCTTTTAGTTTTCCCAGAGGCATCCACATCGACAATTTTTGATATTTGTAGGTTCTTAATTCATTGTCGTCATACGTCCTATTACTTAGAGTAGCTTGTGCATTTCTAGGAACAGAAGCGAAATGAAAAGCGTAGTGGCTGTAAAATGAGGGACAAGAGTCATGTCCTTTGGAGTTGATGATGTCATTCTATAATATTTTATGGACCAAAACATCTGTATCATAACGTCAATTATTATTTATGATTTTATTGGCTTCTTCGTCGCATTCTGCTTGCTGTGCACTCTGTAATTTTTCGTCTCGATGAAGTGTATGGCCTTTAACTCTGCTTCCGTTTAAACAATTTAATTATATAAGCATTGAAATGTGAGTTGTTTTTTTTTTTTTTGATTAATTTTAATTCAATCCCATGACGTATCCATTGATGTTTAGATATTAATTGGGTAATGACAAAACTGGTAAAAAAAAAAAATTCCCTTGTGATATATATATATATATATATATGTATTTTTGACCTGATCCCTCGTGAAAGTGAATTTCAGACTTAAGCACATAATGATGAGAAACTTACATTTCGGTTAAAAAAAGAGATAATTCGTTTAAGGATTTCACACAAAATTTATTCACAAGGATTAATATAAAATAAATTATTATTGAAATGAGAATATGAGCTTGTTTTTTTTAAATATGATTTATTATTAGTTTTTGTTTATAAATACTTTTTTTGACAAGTGTTTGCATGTGATTTAAAAAAAAAAAAAAGTAACAGAAGAAGGGGTGGGCGGAAGTTGCACGTGAAGCATTTTCCCTCTAGGTCAATAACTCGAAGCTTCAACAATTGAATGGTAGCATGGTACCAGCAAATTTTTTTAAAGAGAAACTATTATGGGTCATTGGGTTATATGTTCATTACATGAACCTCAAAAAATTACCCGTTCCATAATTTATAATTTGTTATATTTTTCTATTATATATAGATAATATAGGGTTAAGTGGCATGTATAAAAAAAAATATTTATAGATAAGTGGTGGTTAGGACATGCTATGTCTCCTTCTGTACCGGGAAAAAAAAATTCTAAATCTCAATTAAAAAATAATTATTAATGTAATTTTTTTTTTGGCTGATGAATTATTAATGTAATTAACATAAAGGTGATTTTATAATTTCATGAAGCCAGATCATAGACAACAAATCACCACGATTTCCAGATAGACTTTCTCCGTCTTCTTACCGATGAAGTCGAAAAAAGAATAATCATTCATCAACCAAACTAGCCGTAAGTGCCCATGGCTATTTGCTCGTCACCTTCTTCTTCATCATCATCTTCGTCTGAGTCTTCCAACAACGCTAAGCTATGGATCTTACATGGCATTGCGGCTGGAGTTGCAATCGCAGCTGCTGTCGGTGCTCGCGCTTACTTCAATCGATTCGAGAAATTTCGTAGCCGCGTCGTTGGCATCATACCTGCCCGCTTCGCCTCGTCCCGTTTTCAGGGCAAACCTCTTGTTCACATTCTTGGAAAGCCCATGATCCAGGTACTCGCTTGCATCCCTTTGTCTCTCCTCTATGCAGAACACAATTTTTTTCCTTTTGCAAAATAATTTTTGATGTTCAGACTGTAGTCTTAGGAAATGCAAGGTGCTGAACGATAGCTTTACAAATCAATTGAAAGTGAAGATTTTTGTTTTTTAAGTGATATTTCTTTGATCCATCCTTCTGTCCTATATTACTTATGTTTCAGCAAACTCTTTTTCCCCATATAGTTCATCGTATAATTATCAGGAAGTAATTGGCGTTAAATCGTATTTGGGGGCACTGGAAAACAAGCCCTTGATTTAATATAAAATCCTGGTTGAATTTCCATATTGAAAAATCAGATGCATAGAGAAGCCAGATCGGGAAAATGAAACTTATGCATAATGATTCTCAAACAATGCTAAATTGATGAGGACCATTCTATTTGTTCGGGTTCTTTTTGGGTGTCCTGAATTCTGAAAAAGAAACAAGGTGTATTGATGGTCAGTTCGTTTGGACTAGCTGCCAACTGTGCTGCCATTGGATGAACTTTAGCATATATTGGTACACTTTTATCTGGTTAATGATGATAATAAGCATGTAATCCACGTGATTGTTTATACAGAAACCGTTAAATTTTTTTCCCCCAGCTATTGCACTTATCATGAATTTTTAAGCACCTTGTTTATGCATAATAAACTCATTGCCACTAATAATTTCAGCACCTTTTTATGATCTTTACTATTTTCAGTGATTTTCTCTCTGTTTCATGTTCTCAGTCAAAACTGATGCGTCTGGTCAATTGTCTTAATTTTACAGAGAACATGGGAAAGGGCAAAAATGGCTTCTACATTGGATCATGTTGGTAGGTCTTCATGCCTGACTAATTGTAATACGTCATAAATAGTATTTAAATTAGAATGCCTACGTGAATCCCTGAAAGTGGAAAAAATGACTAAATTCCCTTGATTGAAACTATTCACGTTAGTAGGTCTGATTTTCTGACACACATTATTAGCACGAACAGCTGCAGAAAGCGTAGATAAGTTATGTTGATTTTTCCCTTTTCGGTTTAAGGTATCATTCAGTTCAAATTGCATTATCATTTGTATGCCCAGTATGTGTTGCACTTTAGGGACATTGAACAGAGACAATTTGCCTTCGCCCATCCTGGAACTGGGTGGGTGAACATTTCATTTCCGTTGTCACTGTTTCTTCACTGGTTCAATATAAAGGCTCTCGGTGGGCTTTCTAAGGCTAGAAGTTACTCAATGTTGCTAGTATCTTACTGCTTTGCCTTGCTTTCCTTTCTGACTATTTTGGCTAATGAATTTCCGAACATCAAGCTTTGAACTGGATTGTGTTAAAGACAGGTTTTCTTTTATCTGTTTGAGGAAATGGTGGATGCTTTCTTGATCTGATTGATAGTTTTTTTCTGGTCTTAGTTGTGGCCACTGATGATGAAAAGATTGCTGACTGCTGTCGACAATTTGGAGCTGATGTCATAATGACATCAGAATCCTGTCGAAATGGTAATCAGACTAATTCCTTAATATATTTTGCCATTTTAGGCCGTGATATTTTGGGGCCATATTTCATGCTTCTACTCTTAATAGGTACTGAGCGCTGTAATGAAGCCCTTCAAAAGCTTGAGAAAAAATATGATATTGTTGTCAACATTCAGGGTGATGAGCCTCTTGTTGACCCTGAGATAATAGATGGTATCGTAAAAGCATTACAGGTAAGATATTGTTTTTCACTTGCTTTTTTAAAACGGGAGAGACAGAGATGTTTTGTAATCAAAGGTTTCATGTATCCCTGCCTTAGGTGCTGATTATTATCTGTAATGCTCTTAATATAGTGTTAGGTACATCTTATCTTCGCATTGGAAGAACATGTCATTACTGGATTTATTGTCCTTGTGGTTACATTGAAGTTTATCATGTTTCCTGCAGGCAGCTCCAGATGCAGTGTTTAGCACTGCAGTCACATCTTTAAAACCTGAAGATGCAAATGATCCAAACCGAGTGAAATGTATTGTAGATAATCATGGTTATGCCATTTATTTTTCGCGAGGACTGATCCCATTCAACAAGTAAGTGAATAATTAACATCTTTATTTTCTGGTCCCGATTGTTTTTTTTCATTCACAGTACAACTTTCTTTTCAAATTAACGTACAAATTTGCCGCAAAAAATACATTTCCAATAATAAGGATCATGTCTGTATAAATTATGCAGGTCAGGGAAAATCAATCCACGGTTTCCTTATCTGCTTCACCTTGGAATTCAGGTAACCGAAGTGGAAACTCGGAAAAAAGTGGTCATCATAAGATCAAATGCAACTTGTTATTTACTACTGCTACTTTCGTCATTTTGAATTACTAATTATCTGTATACCTATTTGCCAGAGCTATGACACGAAGTTTCTAAAAATATATCCAGATCTTCAGCCCACTCCATTGCAACTTGAGGAGGATTTGGAACAGCTTAAAGTCCTTGAGAATGGCTATAAGATGAAGGTACCCAAAGTTTGGTACAGATCCATTTTGATTTATCTTTATGTCACTGACAAAATTTTTACTTTTTTATTCTGACTCATTTTATATAATCACGTTGCGGGAAACAAATGAAGTTAAAATTTAACAAGGTCAGGTCCAGTTGCCATTAAAATCTGTCAGGTGTCCTACACCATCTGCTCCCCAAGTTTTCTGCATGGTCTATAAAATGCCTTAGATGTGTCAGCTGTCGACAACCAGAATAGGTTATTGGATATGGACAGGGTTCTTTTGTTGTTTGTGTGTTATGTGCGCACTTAGCGGCAATCTGGAATGCAGGCATTATAGCTTTTATTTATAACTTTGCAAATCTAGGTCTGGGTTGGGAATCAAAATGCATTCGAGATGCATCGGTATTGTTGTTCAAGGAGAGTAATGTATTTGTGATTTATCTCGGTTATTAAAGAGTTCCACCCTTGGGTTAAATGGTGCAAGGCCAATGCATATAATTTTGAATTTTCAATTCAGTAAATGCTGTTCTAGAAATTAGATGACATTTGGGATAATTTATTTTTCTTACCTTTGATCATAAGCATCTGATGGAGCTAATTAGCCGTATGATATGATATATTTTGCACATCAACATTAGTATATGCCTGTGTGAACTTTCATGACCTGTTTCAGATAATCAAAGTGGATCACGATGCTCATGGTGTTGACACTCCAGAAGATGTTGCCAAGATAGAATCTCTTATGCGCGAGAGAAACTTGTCTTGAACTTACATTCCATGAGCTCATCTACGTGCAGTTATTTTTGTAATTTTCCCCCGCTTTTATTTGTTCTCGCATGTCTTTCAACATAGTGTAAGTGTTTTGATTTACAGGTTATATTACATAATTAGCATCCTAGTAGGACTGACTAGGTTTTCATGTAGTACAAAACAAGAACGGGAATTTCAACTCTCAAGTCCTCAACTTTGATGCATGCGGTGAATTGTTATAAGAGGTTGAGAATTACTTTCTTTTCTTTAGAACTATCTTTCCTTGATTTCGTTTATCAGTGGTAAAAGGCTAAGGTATTCTTGGCTAAGCAGTGTCGATCACATCATCCGTGTTCATGAAAGCATTTATCGCCAAAATTCAGGCAATATAGCTTGCATTAGTGTCTTATATATTACTTAATATTGGTGCAACCATTACATAGATAACAGTTAAATTCACCTCATTCTCCAAATGCTTTTAGTGGTTCGCATCCTGAATCTAAATTTGCTTCTAATTTTGGAATTCAATGTCTGTGACGAAAATTTCATGAGCACACGCATATGGAGAAGGCAGCAAACGCTTTACAAAATTGGTTCTCGTAAAAATCTTACGCCCAATAGTTTATGAATTGAGGTGTCCCTGACTATTAAATTATGCATTTGGGCTGAACCAAGAATGATCTGTCACTGGATTGACTTAATCAACGCCAAGCTCTTGATTCTATATTAAAACAGAGCATCTAGATTGGATTTAAATCCCATCTTTGACGTGAAGATTTTATTGGATGAAATATAAGTATTTTTGCAAATATTTTTTAAATATGAAGGCATGTTTTAATTTTGATGAATTTTTAAAGCCTAACTCATCTAAACTTTTTCTACCAATAAAAATAGAGAATAGTGCGATTGGGTAGAGGGATTTGATTAACAACTCATAATCATTTCTTCCCAAAAAAAAAAAAATCACTATCATTCATATTGTGGAGCAGGATTAAGTAGTTCCTAGAGCTTCAATTGGCGGCGAATGATGTCTTCGAGGAATTATGAAACAGAAATATTACATTTGCCAATAAAATCATTATAAGTTAACGGATAATCAAAATAAGCAAAAAGTTCTGGATAAAGTCATAAAATATCTAAAAGCATACTAAACATTTTTGAATAATGTAAGATTACATAATTAAATCTATTTTTTTAAAAAAAGCAACTAGGGAAAAGAAGACATGGATCAGCAGTGTTTGGGTTCGGACATACTTATAATTAAAATTTTAAATTAAGTTCTTTTTTCCTTTTTTCTTTTGACCTAAAAAGAGTTCTATGTATTTATATAATTTTTTTTTTGCTCTAATGATTTAAGACTACGTAATCTAAATTTTTTAAAGAAGGCATGACAAGGCGTTTAGGCTTAGAAAAATGATTTATCGGGTTCATATACATATTTTTACAAATATTGCATACTGATAGGGTTACATGTTGAGGATAATGAAATGATGATCAAGAGAAAAATATCACGGTTTGTGACGCGGCACCACTTCATTGGGCCACGTCAATCAATTGACGGACCACCTGATCCATCCCTGTATCTCCTCGTCCACACAGCTTAAAAAGAAAAATCCGATACCTAACAAAATTCGTTCTTTCAAAACCTATCTGTCCCTGTTTCACTTCCCACTCTTCCAGATCTTCACTCCCAAGCACCCCTGGAGCTACGACCCTCTGCTTCAATGGCTACCATACTCGAACCGATCGCCGTTTCTCGCTCTTCGTCTCTTCCTTCCGCTACTTTCTCTCCAATCACAGCTTCTTCTGCACTTCCCGGCCATAGGACCTCAGCTAAGCTGCCGCACTACAGTGGCCTTAAGCTCAGACCCATCGCAATTACTCGTTCAGCTGGTTCCCTGAATTCCAGCTCGAGGATTGCTCGTCGAGGTGGCCGTGTTGTGTGTGAGGCTCAAGATACCGCTGTCGATGGTAAACTTTTTTTTTTTTTTAAAAAAAAGAAGTTTTGTGTTGAATTTGTTATCTAATTTTCCGGTTGGTTGGTTGTTGAAAGAATATGGAAAAAGAAACTTAGATATCGCTTTTAAGTAAAGATTCGCACTTTGTCAGTCTTTTGGAGGGTAAATTTTATTGTCAGGTTCTTCTTTGTGAAAGTGTATACATGCTTGATTACCTACAAAAGCCAGTTTCCAATTCTACGAATTCTATTGGATTAAATCCGTGAGGTTTGGTGCAGTCTTTGGAAGTAGATATCTAGTGTTTTTATTGATCATGGAAACTTATTTAGAGGAATGGCCAAATTCATTAAATGTGCAACACTGACACTAATTGCTTGAAGAATCTGATGAGTAAAGTGAAAGTAATTTGCTTAATAGGGTTGCGTACTTGATGTAGATGAGTACTTGCTTCTTCATGACACTTTGTATGAGTTCAATTGTTGTGATAGTTTCTCTGAAATAGATTTCCTTTCTTTGTTTATCTTATCATCTCCGGCTTCTAAAAAGAAACAACGCCATTGTGTGCTTAATTCTTTCCTTTTGTGGTGCCTCTTCTATAAAATTATAATTCTGTGGAGAGACATGGTCAAAGATGACACATTTTTCAAGTTCTCCTGGAGTTTTTGATTATTGAACATGGGCATAAGGTTAAAGCGTTGTTGTGAACCTGTCGTGGAGTTACCAGCTGCGTAGTTTTGACCTTGTCAGTTCTCTGTTAGATGGATGCTGATTAGGAATAATTGATTGTTGTTGCACTGTAAATGGACCAATGTTTATTTTATCGAGCAAATTATTCAGAACTGCTTAGTATGGTTTTATGATTTAATGGCAAAATACTACTTTGTACGCACCATCTAGTCAGCATTTTCTTTGCAAAGATCTTGCTATGATATTCCAATCTGAAATAGTTTCTTCCAACTGTGCTTCATTTATCCAGCATCTAAGCTTTTCAGGATTATGCCTTTCTTTCCCATCACTTCAATTATAGGGATGCATGTGGATCCTAATGATCTCTTTCTTCACACTTCCAAATCTTGCTTGTGTCAGAAGAATCTAATTAAAGTAAAATATTTTGGTTTTTTTTTTTGGGGACATGGCAGTGGCTCCTGTTACTGATGCAAATTGGCAGTCCCTTGTTATTGAATCTGAGACTCCTGTTTTGGTTGAATTCTGGGCCCCATGGTGTGGGCCCTGCCGTATGATCCACCCTATTATTGATGAGCTGGCAAAGCAATATGCTGGGAAGCTCAAGTGTTACAAAGTTAACACTGATGAGAGCCCCTCAACCGCAACTCGGTATGGTATTCGTAGCATCCCTACTGTGATGATCTTCAAGAGCGGTGAGAAGAAAGATGCAGTTATAGGTGCAGTGCCAAAGTCAACATTGACCACAAGTATAGAAAAATTCTTGTGAGGTGGTAAATAAAGAAGGCCTTTGCTGGAAGTAAAGCTACTTTTCATTTCAGCTTCTTCTCACCTAAAGCCGTGTCTCATGTTTGGATTACTGAAATACTCACTTAAGCTTCTGTATAGTCATGGGATTCTTTTCAATAAGATAATTATCATTGTATCAATATTAAGTAAATTGAGTTGCCATTATATTGCAGTTTCATGTTTTAAATCTATTTCATATATTTAGCTATTCTGTTTGTTTCTACCTTTTACTTGAGAACCTCACGAGTGATTGTGGATTTGGGGGTGTGTGCATATAACTAGAAAAAAAGAAAATGCTTAGTCCCGTGATGCATAATAAATGAGTTATCGCGCGAGAGTCTTGGCATAATTGGCACATCCATTAGATTGAAATTATATGGAATTCATTTGCTTGGGTTTGATCATTTGCTCTAACCTCTTCTCCTTCTCTCAAATTTCTCCCAAGTGTATATGCTTCCTTTGTAACTAGATCAGTGCACCAAATGGATTATTGGGACTCAGATAACATCAACGGTTTGGTTTTGCATCCGGAGAGCGGTTTAAGTATATTTGCTCAATAAATATTTTAATTACAGACATTGGATTTCATTAATACTTAATAATGATGTAGATATTATTGTTAATTCATGATGCAATCGTTGATCCGTACGTAGAAATTAAATTCTAAACAAATGGTGAAATTGATGAAGCGTTGCATATGTAACACACAACATAACCCTCCCAAGAGATGCCTCTGTTATAACATCTGGTGTCATTCTTTATTAGCTGCTTCCATGTCCTTCCAGATTGATGACGCGGTTCTGAAAACAAATCAAACAACCGAGTAGTGTTCACAAACATATATTATATGACCCACCTTACAAACGCAGATAATGAAAATTTATGGGGGAAAAAAAAGGAAAGAATAGAAAATTGAGGGAAAATGGTTGAATGATAATGAACTTATTACTCAAGGGAAAATAAACCGAAGAAAAAGGATTTGGGGGTGAAGAGGCAAAAATGAGTTTTTCGTGCAATTCCTGGTTTGTCTGGCATCAGCATCAAAACAGACATGAACTCCAGAAAGTTGAAAATTTTGGGGACTCACATTGGTGTTGGGGCATCGTATCACCCTTTTTGAACTTTGGTACCTCTAGGTTGTTATATGCATTTTTTTAAGACTAAAGGGACAAATATACTCATAAAGTGACTAGCCTGTGACATCCAATATTCTAAAACGAGAAAAATGATATAAATACCTATAATGTTACATGAGTGGGTGTAAAAGTGATCAAATCGTTAGCTTTGATCTAACGCCATTAACTTTGATCGTTAAATTCTGATTATGCATGCCACGTGTCAATCTTTGCTGATATGGATTAATAAATGGGCAAAAATATCCATGAAGTTATTGGCTAGAAGCAAAAATATCCATAATGTTATTAGAGTTGGTGCAAAAATGACTAACCCATCAAATTCCTTAAGTGTTGATTGTTTAGCTTACATTTAAGCAGAAGTTGATCATTTTTTTTTATTGACATGGACAAAAAATATTCTCAAATGAAATTCTTTGAACGTCCATCGGTCATTGTACGAATATCATATGAGAAAATATTGTTTTGATTGAAGTTCAAATTAAATTGATTTCCTTGCAGTAAGGACGAAAACCATTTGAAATTTTTAAACATATCATGAATGAAATTGCTTAAGGTTGTTACAATGTTCTTAAGGTAGGGCGACGTAGAAGGTGTGCTTAGTTTTAATCCTTAATTGTGTATAACTCATTCCACTATGTTGAATATCAAGTTTTGCAAATTAAAAAAAATGAGTGGAGAGGGAGGGAGGAGAAAGGAAGTAGGCAAGATATATGGCCATGGAAAGAAACTAGTGACATGGATTTTGACGGATTAATCATTATTACACCTATTAAAGTAATATTATGAGTACCATGCGATGATCAATCAACATCTGTAAAAATTCATTTAAGAATATTTTTTATGTATATCAGCAAACAAATAGTCAACTTTTATTTAGATGTCCGCTAAACGGTTAATATTTAAGTAATTTGATAAATTGATTACTTTTGTACCAACTCTAGTAATGTTATGGGTGTTTTTGCTCTTGGCCGACAACTTGTGAGTATTTTTATCCCTTTATTAATTAACGTCAACAAAGACTGAAATATGACATGCACAGTCAACATTTAACAATTAAAGTTAACGGCATTAGATTAAAGTTAATAGTTTGATCACTTTTATACCTATCCATATAAAGTTATGGGTATTTATATTCTTTTTCTCACTTTAAGATATTGGATACTCTTGATTGATTATTGTGTGAGTATTTTTGCCCATTTGTCATTTTTTAAAAGTTGATTCTCAAACGCGTTTAGGCTTTAGAAAGATTGAAGTGCAGGGATCGACCTGTATTATGGATCTGAATGTTAAAAGTCGAACGCCTCTTTCTCACAATCAGGTCATACGTTACGGAGAGAATAACATGAGAAGCAAGCTCATTACTAGGAACGTAGACGCAGTTTATTATTAACTTATCTCTTTCTTATGATATTCGTCAGAAAATGTTTTCAAGTCTACTTATGAATTTCATGAGTCCTATAGCTTTATCTCTTCTCTTTCTTTCAACTTTATTCTAGAATACTTTAAAGATGATCTCATTCCCAAAAATAAACCGAAAGCAGAGAGATTTAGGAAATTTTCGTACATGCAGCCCTAACATGTGCTTTCTTATCTTGCCGTCTCCAATTTCCTTCGTCCAGCCGTACATTGCCTCCGTACTTGACAGAACGTGTAAGGAAAACGCGTTTCATTAAAATCAAACTTCCCATCTATATATTTCGGAAATTTTAGAGATCCCTTTTTATTATAATCACCGACAACCGCCTCCTCAGCCTATAAAACGGGCCACTAACTTGAAAGCATTTATTCACACGTACTTCCCAGTTCCAAGACATTAACAGGCGAAGTACCCACGATTCTGTTTGTTTCCTCAGAAACATGGGGCCTCTTATGATCATTCTTTCTCGTTTTCTCTGCTTCGTTTTCCTTGTGTTCAGCGCCGCTACACCCCACGTCCATGCCTTACCTTGGCTCCATGCTCATGCAACCTTCTATGGAGCAGATCAAAATCCCACCGCCTTGGGTAAGTCTTCTTAATTTTCATGTCTAACTTTTTAAAGAGATCAGATCCACACGAAAGTAAAACTTTGGAGACGAGATCCAAATCCTTATTAATTACATCAGATTTATTTGCTGAAACTGAATTTTCTCTCTTAGTTCTCCATTCTGGAAGTCACACTAATGTGAGAAGGATATGTAATTAATTGGTGTTTTGATTAAATATGCATGAGGCAGGAGGAGCATGTGGTTACGATAATACGTTTCATGCTGGGTTTGGAGTGAACACAGCAGCAGTGAGCACGATGCTTTTCAGAGGCGGACAGGTGTGTGGTGCATGCTACCGAGTTATGTGTGACTACCGGGCCGACCCAAAATGGTGCCTCCGGGGCCGCACCGTCACCGTCACGGCCACCAACTTCTGCCCTCCGAACAACCACGGAGGTTGGTGCGACCCGCCTCACCATCACTTCGACATGTCCATGCCTGCTTTCTTTCGCATTGCACGCCAAGGCAACGAAGGCATCGTCCCTGTCCTTTATATCAGGTAATGAATGATGATGATGATGATGATGATGATATACATGCACCTGTATGTATAAGGTTAATGTAAAAATAATTATTGGACACTGCAGGGTGAGATGCAAGAGAAGAGGGGGAGTGAGGTTTACGTTGAAGGGGCGAGGGAACTTCAACATGGTGATGCTATCCAACGTCGGAGGCAGTGGAGAGGTTCAGGCAGTGTGGGTGAGAGGTTCCAGGTCAGCAACGTGGGCCCCAATGCACAGGAACTGGGGGGCCTACTGGCAAGCCAGCATGGATCTTCGAAACCAGAACCTCTCCTTCAAGCTCACCTTGTCCGATTCCAACTCTCTTCTCTTCTCCAATGTCGTCCCTTCCTCTTGGTCCTTCGGCCAGACCTTTTCCTCCCATTCTCAGTTCTTCTAACAATTCCACGGAATTCAGCAGAGACGACATACAAAAAAGTGGGTCTCACGAAGCAAGCCCCATCTTTCATAACTTCACCGTACCAGGGGATCCAAGTTACTCCAAAACCAACCAAATTTTTTATGGCTGGTGGGCTTTGATACATATATATGATCTATGTTTTATTATTTTTTATTTTTCATATGATTGAATAAGTTGGGGGACAATGTTATCACCCCTGCTCTAATTAATTTAATATGTATCTGCAAAATCAAGTACATGTATCTGTTTATATATATGCTCCAAATATTGGGAGCATGATGAGTTACGCTATTTTGTTGTCGTTATACTGCATGGTGAAGAATCATCCTTCTGAATTATTGATTTTGCCAAGGGTTGGAATTTTAGATTTCTCACATTGTACTCTTCATCACCTCATACTCGCATCATATATATGAAATGGAAATCTTTTGTGAGATAGGTGTGATAATATATATTTCCTATTCCACAAAGGAAATATATTTATTGGCCAAAATTATTATTAAGCTAAAATCGCAGAGTAAAAGCATGTTTGGGGGAAAAACAAAACAACTCAGCAAAGTTCTCTTGTTTAAATATCATGCCGGGAGAGTGCCACGTGAACTACGCTTTTTCTTTCCTTTTTTTTTTTTTTTTAGTAAATGTGAACCAAGCTTTTGGGCCACCTTTTTCCTATACTCAAATAAGATTTCCCTGACTAAATTTTAACCCAAAAAAATTTAAGGAAGAGGACGACGAGGAACATCTTCCTTTAAAACTTAAAAATAAAATCAGCTCCAGTATTAATATTTATTTTTTCCAAGGTCCTTATACTTGAAAAAAAAAATATAGAGATCAATAACAAAATAAGAATAAAATGTAAGGATTTAAAGTTATTTTTTTCCTTAAAATATATGACAAATAATAAGATTCAATCTGAAAGCTGATGTAAAATTATTAAATTAGCAATCAAGTGAGAGACTCAGGATATGTTTGAGAATATATGATAAAATGAAAAGGAAAGGTGAATAATAAAATATAATGTAGTGGAGTGCGATAGAGTGGGACATTCCATTATTTGGGGGATTTTTTAAGAGAAAAAATAATTTTATTTAATCATTATTTAAGAATAATTATAAAATTAAATTTAATATAATTATTCGGTTTTAAGATAAAAGAGGAGTGAAAGAGAGAAAGATAAGGATGGTAATTTTATAAAAAAATAATTTATATCATATTATTTCATTCTCAACCCTCCAAATTAGAGGATCAAGAAAAATTAATTTAGGATGATAAGATATGACTTGCAAGGCAACCAAGCTATTTCACTTCATTTTAAAAATTTCTCTTAAATAATGACATGAAACTTCTTACCATTTCATTTTATTTTATTTAAAAAAAAAAAAAAAACTCCCAAACATGGCCGGGGTAAAATCTATTATCATACTCCGCCGCCTACTGGCTAGCTTGGGCTGTGAGCCGAGGGCAGCACAAGAACACTGCCTGAACATTTTTCACACCCATTGACTGCATTTGTGGAGATGACAACTACAATCTTCTTCACAAACCTTAAAAAGTCCCTGAACTTGACAATAAAATTTATACTTTCAAGACCGTTCTCCTCTGCAAATGTGCAGCCTGCTACTTACAGAAGAAACCTCATCTCTAGAATCATTCCTCTGGGAAACCCTTCAATCAGTTTAGTCCCTGTTCTTGATGAGTGGGTCCAAGAAGGTAACCCTGTCCATGACATCGAGCTCCGGAAGATCGTTAAAACGCTCCGCGGCCGCCTCCGCTTCAAGCAAGCACTCGAGGTAAGTCTCTCTTTCGGCTTACGATTTTCTTACCTGTCGCTGAGCGTAACAATAGGGTTTTTAATTTGTTGTCGTTTATGAGGTAAATGTTGAGAAAACCAAAGGTATGGCTAAGCAGCCGTACTCTGTTTAAATATAGAGTATTCAAGTTTTGCGGTAACACCATAGTCCTTAGGTTGTTTGATGTATTTGAGGTAAGAAAGTTGGAGTTCAATTTGATGGCATTTCAAGCTGGAGCCTGCATCGACTATTTGTAGTAGACGAGGGAAAATGCTGGAAAAACAGTGATTTGAGGAAAACTGTAAGCTAAGTATTAATTTTGTTATACCTCCTTGCTGGGATGACAACTGAAAAGAAGAGTGAATATAATGTTTTATGGTGCTTTGAGCTATACGGAAGTGATAGTTCCTGACTGTGTGGTTGGTAGTGGCGAGAACAGGAATGTGATAAATGAACTGATGAAATTACAATGTTTATATTCTCCAAATACAACGCCAGTTTTCACCTTGTCATTTTCACTCCCACCGCACCCTTTGGCTGGACAAATAGTTTGCGCGAGGCTCTTTTGAGCAGTTTCTGAAACAATATGTTTGTTTTCCAATGTTTATTCTGTTAATCCATAAATAGGGATAAGACTATTCGTATCCAGTATACATTGAAATCATATCTGCAGATAATATTCCTGGGTTGGAAATTTCTCTATAATTAGGTGATTGGTGATTGCTATTTTCTTATACTTGACAGGGGTGAGTTTTTTTTTTAATCTTCATATTGAGATATTCATTCTCAGTTCGTTAGGAATTGTTGATATCACGAATGCTACATTTGAAACTGAAGGAATTTGCTTGTTGGTTTAATATTTGTTAAAAAAGCTGCCCACATCATAGATCCAAAGTTCTTTGACCACATCTGAAATGAAAGAAAAGTATGCATGGTATCATAACAAAGCCAAAGAGTAACTGCTGAAGTAAAAGGAAGAGTGAATTTTTTTTTCCCCATTTATTCCTAGATATTTTACTATTACTGAGATACCTTCAATGTTGATTACACGGTTTTGTTGCTTGATCTTATGGATGACTGTTGAAACTTTGATATCTTAGGTTTCTGAGTGGATAAGAAGTAAAGGGCTTTTTCCATTTTCACCTGGTGACCAAGCCGTGCAGCTAGATCTTATTGGTAAAGTACGAGGCCTGGAGCTTGCTGAGAAGTATTTTCAAGATCTGAGTGATGCAGAAAAAACTGAGAAGCAATATGGTGCTCTTTTAAATTGTTATGTCAGGGAACGCTTAGTTGACAAGTCACTTTCCCTCATGTACAAGATGAAGGAGTTGGGTTATTCTTCTGTTTTGGACTATAACAACGTAATGTGCCTCTATATGCACACAGGTCAACTTGAGAAGGTCCCTGATGTTTTTGTACAAATGAAAGAGGAAGGTGTGCTTCCAAATGATTTTAGCTACAGGATTTGCATAACATCTTATGGTGCCAGATCTGATCTTGCGAATATGGAGAAAGTATTAGAGGAAATGGAAAGGCAAAGCTACATTCTCAAAAGCTGGAATGTATATTCAATGGTGGCCAACTTCTTCATAAAAGCAGGTCAGAAGGAGGGAGCTCTGATTTACTTGAAGAAATGTGAGGACAAGGCAGGCACTGATGCGCTTGCTTTCAATCATCTGATTACACACTATACAAGTCTTGAGAACAAAAGAGCAGTGTTGAGACTATGGAATCTGCTGAAAGCCAGATTGAAGAAGCAAATTAACAAGTACTATATCAACATGCTGGGTTCTCTGGTGAAGCTAGGAGATCTTGAGGAAGCTGAAAAATTGCTCCAGGAGTGGGAATCATCGGGTAACTATTATGATTTCAGGGTGCCAAACGTGCTATTGATTGCGTATTCTCAGATGGGAATGATTGAAAAGGCTGAAACATTGCTCCAGAGCATGATTGGCAAAGGCAAGACTCCAACCCCTAATAGTTGGTCTATCATTGCTTCTGGATATGTGGCCAAGCAGGATATGGAGAAGGCCTTTCAGAGCTTTAAGGAGGCTTTGGCTTTAAGGGCTGAGAATGAAGGCTGGAGACCAAAGCTTGACCTCATTTCAGGCTTATTGAGCTGGGTCTCTGATCATAAAGATGTGGATGAAGTAGAAGAGTTTGTAAATTCTATAAAAACTGTGATTCCCATGAATAGGGACATGTATCTCTGTTTGCTGAAGGTGCATGTAAGACGCGGGGAGGGAGTAGGGGGGATTTTAGAGGAAATGAAAGCTGATGGGATAGTGTTGGATGAAGAAGTGGAGAACATCCTTAGCTCGAAAGTACAATAATATTAATTTTGTTATTCTTTGCTCGTTACTCTGTCTTGCCACCTGAATGAGCAGTGAAGTAAAATTAGCAGAGAGGTGGTCTGGTTGATCCTCACATCTATTGAACAAACAGAACCGAGCCATTTCTTGTGCACCTCCTTAATGAAGACAATCGAATTTCAGACACACGCAGACTTTTATACTTCAGCTGGATTTAGTTCTTAAAATACAAGGAAAGCATTCTGAGAGTTGTGGGAAAAAAAATTAGTGGAGTGCCTAAGTTCTTTTGTTTCTCAATTCTCGGAGTGCCTACGTTCTTTTTAATCCATTTTTTCCATCGCTCTCTTTAATTTATGCTTGTACATTGTATTCATGAACTAAACGTAAGGAATCAACATTATTATCAATATTAATGTATTGAGGTATGATAAAAATATAATTTTGGATCTCTGCATTTTGTTTGTATTTAACTATTGATCTTTGTTTTTTTTTTTTTTTGGTGTTTTCAATCTTCACATTTTTGTTTTTTATTATTTTAAGCTTCTCTAAGATCTTTGTACTTTATTTATGGAGGGATTTAAAATAATAAAAAATAAAAATTTAAAAATTTAAAAGATAAAAAAAAAGTATGGAAATCAATGGCAAAACATAGTAAGGATTCAAATTATGTTTGCGCTAAAATATATACCAAAATGAAGTATTCATAAGTAATGGGCCTATTTTTCGAATTCCATTGCACTGGTTTGAATAATATATTTCGGACAAATACGCAAAGCAACATTATTACCGTGTGGACAGCAATATTCTGACCCTAAATTCATACAAAAATATTCGGATACTATTTTTCGGCCAGCAACATTCACTTGTTGGGCTTTGAGCCCAAAGTCCATGTCCCAGGACACTACTTCTTAGTTAGGAGCTCATCTTTCCTTCCTCTCTTCATCTTAACCGAGTTATCGACACTCAACCCGTTCTGTTTCTCGACTCGCTCAGGCACCTGAAGCTTGGAGCCAAAACAAAATGTCAGAGAAAGACAAAGACGAAGTTCCGCTTAAGAGGAAATCTAGGAAAGAGCGAGAAGATTCGGATGTAGACTCGGAAAATGAGAGAAAGCACAGTGATTCGAGAAGGAAAGGGCGAGAAAGTTCTGGTTCGGAGGGAGAACATGACAGAAGGCACAGGAAGAGTGATAGGAGAAAGAGAAAATCACGGAGTCGTTATAGTAGCGATGAATATTCCGATTCCAGTTCGGACTCTGATGATGATGAGTCCGAGTATTCCGGGTCTGATTCGGAGTATTCGGATTCCGAGTCGGGAAGCTTGCGTTCTGAGGAGTCTGTGAGTGAGGAAGAGAGAAAAAGGAGGAAGAGGAAGGAGAGAAGAAGGAGAAAACAGAAGGAGGAAGAGAGGGAGAGGAAGAGAAGAAGGAAAGAGAAGGAAAGGTTGAGGCGGAAGAAGGAGAAAGAGGATAAACGGAAGAAAGAGAAGAGGAAAAGGAAGAAGGAAAAGAAAGAAAGGGGGAAAAGGGTGCAGTCACGAATTCATGGGGAAAGTATGGTGTTATCCGAGAAACTGATATGTGGTAAGTGATCAAGATTTTTCTCTTTTCTAGGCGTAAAGTCTCTGAAGCAAATGTTTTTTTTTTTTTTTTTGAAATGCATGGGATGTATATATCATCTGATTTCTTATGTCTGTTTTTGTTGGGACTTGCAAGGCTGTATGTGGTCAGGGAGATTGCTTGATTGTTTCAAGGATGAGATCAAAACCACTTTAGAAGTTGTTCTCTGATTTTTTTCTTAGGGTTATATATTTGAGTTATTTGTGACTGCGTGAGGCTGGGACCCTTAATGTTTGTTGATTTTGGTTGAATTTTTTAATGAATGAACTTCAAAAGTTTCCAAATTGTCTCTTGACTTTTCTTTTCCCAATTTTCACATATTTCATTTAAAGTTAGAGAAGAACAGTAGGTTTTATCAGACTGATTTAGAGATAATAATTAGACCAGTACTGAAATTCAAGTATATGAGTTAAGTGCTAACTAACTGTAATATTGCTTAGTTAGGATCTTCCAAATAAGAAAAAGGTTTACTTATGCTTCAGAATTGTTCTTTTAGGCTTTGGATGAAAGAGAAGAGGGTGTGCATAGATTACAGAATAGAATTATAGAAACAACTGCTAAAAGGTTCAAGCTTACCCTAAAAAGATTCTTTTCAATCATATGTGATGCTTGAGAGAAAGTTGTCAACCTGTTTAAAAGACAGCGTATCATTAATACTAAAAATATTGACTACAATTATGCCATTATTATTGGAGAGGAGTTACAGAAGGAAGGTTGTCAGCTAAACTCTCCTGATTGCGATTTCTGGTTTAACTAATTGCGTTTTGGAATTTGTTGGATCATTCGAATTGCTGTTTGCCACATGTTTGGATCCTTGACCTTGAGAGATGAAGATAGGTGTTGGTTCTTCGCGAGAGAATGTTGGTCATCTCTTTCTATTTATTTGACGTGGGGCTTAGATTGAGGAGGAAAGAGTGGTTTTTGTCAACTGGCTTCATTGTTGAAAGGGTTCATGGCTTCAATCATACAGTCTGGCTCCTTCTTTGATGTTTTCATCTTTGTTACTTAATGGACTTCTTACAAGCTTTTATGGATAGGAAAAAATAGCCTATTGCTGATATAATTCAAGCTGTAACCTACTGATTATGAACGTTTTGACTGGATTGTAAGGTGCTGCTATATATTTGCTTGTGAAGAAGCTTTGATTTGCTTATACTCTCATTTCATAGCATCAGTTACCAATGCTTATCACAAGATTGTTTAGATTGACCAAGTTGAAGATGTTTGAATGAAGTAAATTATCTGACAAGTTTTCATGTCGAATCATTAATAAATAGAAATTGTAGCTGTTATTTCTGTGAATTGAGATTCTCACCTGTTCTCTGGTTGATTTTCTGAATATTACAGGAACAAACGACCAGAGTTCACTGCATGGCTGGCTGAAGTAAAGCAGGTGTTTATTTTGTTTACTTTGTTTTTTAACTCTGCATGACAAATGTGATATTTCCTCTTCCTGTTTGTTATTTGTGGTCCTTTGTCCATTCTGTAAGAAATTAAAAAAATGTTTACTTGTTAACATTATCAGATGAAAAGCTTTTCCATATTCGTCACTTGAAATATTGTTATTGTTTCAATGATGGTGATGGTGATGAAAATTGTACATCTTAGCAAATTAGATTACATTTCTTTTATGGTTGTTGTACAATTTCTTGCTTTTCCCTTTAAATCAATTGCAATAAGTCTTTTGCCATTCTTTTGTTTTTGTAATTTACACTTGTGTCATGTTCATGTGGAATATCTGACTTTGTTATGATTGCTGGTGTTCCTTAACAGGTTAATCTGGAGAGCCTTTCTAACTGGGAGGAAAAGCAGATGTTCAAAGAGTAACAGCACTTTAATTTGCTTATTGTTTCATTTTGTATGCACGTGCCAGTTCTAACATTCCGTACAATGTTAAGCTGATTTCTTAATTGTTGTTTTCTTTTCAATTTCTGATGTGCAGGTTCATGGAGGACCACAACACTGCTACCTTCCCCTCAAAAAAGTATAGATCTTTACCATCATTATTTCTGCGTATTCAAATTGATTTTTGCATAATTTTGTGCTCCCTTTTATTCACCTATAGCTCTTGCCTGTGAATTTCTTGGGTCCTCTGAAATTTTTTGTATTGATCAATGTAAACTCTGGCCAAAAAAACTTTTAAAAAAATGGAAGGTGCATGCTGTACAGTGCATAAATGGATTTAAGATTTCAATATCGTAAACTTGTTTATACATTTTTAGGGTTGATGAATGCTCCAATTTCTGTATGGCAGGTACTACAACCTGGATGCTTATCACAGGCGTCAAATGGAAAAAGAGATGAAAAGGGGTTTTAAGAAGGTTGCAGCTGCAGAACGTACTGTTTTTAATGATGAAGAGCAACGAAGGTATGTTTTTGGGAATATTTTTTTTATTAATTTTGATTTGAAGTGGTTCTGTTGTTGGGATCTTTTTTTCCAAGATATATGTTATTTTGATCTATCTGCTGAAGAAAGCAACAATTATAGGAGCTAGGTTACTAGTCAAGTCATAACAATTGACTAGTAAACTAGCTTCTCTAATTCATTCTCGATTTTTTTATGCTGATCAATTGCTTTTCATTTACATAATCCTACCATCTATTGAATGTCTTGAAATTTTCGTCTCAATAGCGGATGAGACATTTCAAGGATGTCATTGATGTGCATGGTATGTGTGACTGTGTGCCAACTAATTATATATAGACTAGGCCCCATTCTATAGTGGGGCCTGGGTAATAAGTTGTGAATGGTTTTGGTTTTGCACGCCTATGTGCATGCAAGTTATGAACTAACAAACAAGACCCCTTAAATGTTAGTTCCCATGCCCTGTAAAACAGTTCCTTTTGGCACCCACCAAGGTTGTCTCTGTCGAACCTAATTTCTTTGCTTGATTCTTGGCTTTAATAATCGATTTCATTGCACTTGCAGGCTAGAATTACAGCAAGCACGTGAAAAGCACAAGGAAGAACAAGTGCTAGCATTAAAGCGCTCCATGCAGAGTGGAATGGTTTGTTTTCACGAAATTGCCTCTAAGCTGATTTCTTATAGCTATTCTAGTCCCTTTGTTGATTCTTGGCTAAGTCATTTTTCAAAATTTCGTGTGCCATAAATTACAGGCACAGGCAATGAAAGAGCAAGCTCAACTCAGGGAGGAGATGGCTTACCAGTACAAGCTTGGAAATTTTGAGGTAAGGAGTACAGCCTAAATTCTATTTGAAGCTTGTTCAGTCTATCAGAGGCTGCCTTCTCAACTGCAATTATTTTCACTGTAGGCTGCTGCTGCTATTCAGAGAAGATTGGACCCTGATGCTGCCATGTGATAGTAATTGAATCATGTACTTGGAATCAAAGGATTAGATGATAGGGTGACGGTCATGAGTATTACTAGAATTTTCAAAATGATGGCTCTTTTGGATCATTCGGTTTTGGTAATTGCATCCGTTGAGGATGTGTTATATTTATATCAACAGATGAGTTGTAATTTCAATGGGGGAAAAGATGAGCTGTAATTTCAGTGTAATGGTTTGATGGTAGGCAGGGCACCGTGACTCAGCTGGGCCTGCGATCAAAGCCATGCTAATTTCTATTTCACATGATTTAGATTTTTGCATTTCACATGGTTGAAGTTGCGTTACGTTGGTTGACACATCAGGGCCTCCCAACGAGAAGTGAAATTAAGCAAGTTCATTGCTCACTATAAATCCCTAGTCGAATCAATGGTTAATCCCTTTTCCCCTGGTAATTTCAAGCGGATAATATTTAGTGAGACCCAAGATTTATAATATCGACTTTCCTTGAAAGGCACTAACTCTTAAGTGTTGTTTTTAAAAAGTTTGTTATATATTTTTACCAAAACTGTGAATGCAAACTTCTGTGGTAAATTGCAGAAAAATTAAAAATAAAAATCTTAAAAGTTAAAAACGTGCATATTTTTCTTCACAGTTGTAAATAGAACTCTTGTACTGAATTTTTTTTTTGGTATTTAAAATTAACTTGAATCTTTTTAAAAAATGATAATAAAATTTTTTTAAATTATATAAATAATAATTTATCTCTTAAAATATTATAATTTTATTAAAGTTTTTAAGAATTTTTGTATTAATAAATTTTAAATTAAAAATATTATTTTATTTTTATTAATAAATTGTGATTTTTTGCTCAATTTTTATAATTTTTTTGAATAAAAATTTATTTTTAAAATAAAAAATTATGATTGAGATTTATTATTTTAAAAACTTATTTTTTAATAATAAAAATTATACTTAATAAATGATGATTTTTTGTTTAACTCTTACAATTTGTAAAACAAAACTTGTTATTTCTTAAATAAAATTATGATTGAGGTTTGTTATTTTAAAACAGAAATTATATTTGATAAATTATAATTTCTTATTTAATTTTTATATTTTTTTAAATTATAATTGAAACTTGTTACTTTCAATAAGAATGAAATGATTTTTTTTATTTTAAAATTTGTTGACACGAAACTTTAGTAGAATTGTAACATTTTAAAAAATTAGATTATTATTTATATAATTCAAAAAAAAAATTATTATCATTTTCCCTGAATCTTTAAACTTTAGACACTTCAAAATTTAAAAAAAAAAAAATGAAGCTCCCAACGAAGTTCTGTAAAAGGAAAGATAGATTTATATGAATCTGAGAAGCTCATTGGCGTCTGGCTTTCATAGCTCAGTTGGTTAGAGCACCCGTTTAGTAAGCGGGAGGTCTTGAGTTCGACTCTCAATGAAAGCACTTGTTTGTTCTTTCGTGTTTTCATTTTCGATAAACATGTTGATGTTTGGTTTACCTCAAGTGCCGAATCTGATTGAATATTTTCCTCATTACTCAACTCTCATTGCTCATCCATTCCTCCCCATCAAATCATCAATTCTCCAACAACGTTTAGGAGCAGTTGTACCTGCCCCAGCTCTTATGGTCTTCTCCTGTACTCGTCACCCAGCAAGGCGGGGAAATCTCCAGGTTAGCCTTTAAGTGTACATTTTACAATAATTGTGCTTCCTCCCTGAAATATAATAAATTTCACATCTTTAATTAAAAATTTTTAAATTATATACTCCTTTTATTAAAAAAATATAAGGTATTTTTAATCAAATTTTATCTTTCAATAAATTAATTATTTATTTTTAAACTAATTTTATCTTTTTATATTTACCCTTATTAAATACTCTATAATAAATATAAAATCATTATCTATAAAGATATTTTTTTTAACAAAAAAGCAATGATTATACTTCAAAAGATTAAAAATACCTTACATTTTTTAATATTTAAATTTTTTAAAAAAATACTTTATATTTTTTAACGGAGAGAGTATGTAACAAATAAGATATAAAAGATATAATTTTTTTGACCAGCATTTTAGAATATATAATTTACAAAAAACATTTATTTATCTTAAATTTACATAAAATATATTTTAATCTTCATTTACTTTAACGCACGGTTCTGTAATTATAAAACTATACAATTTCAACAAACTATGTAAAAAAATATACGCGCATTCATATTGTAAAAAATGAGAAATAAATTATTAAGCACATTAAGTATAATTAAAAAACTTTCACGGGAATGTTATTCATTCATTTGTAATTTATATGAGGTAATTATTTTAGTTTGTGATAGTTTGTTTACCTGAAATTAGCTTTGTGATAATTAATATTTTTTCTTTTAGAAAATAACTAAAATACTTAATAGGATGCGATATTTTTGCACAAGTATTTTTACATGAATCATACATATTTCCTATGCTTTCTTTAAAGGCCCGATAATTAAGTCGTATTATATTATAATTCATAATTTACAAACAATATGTTTATTGACACACACACACTCAATAGTTTATTTTAAAAAAAATAAGCACATATTATATACACTGCATGTATTATTTTTTTAAAAAAATAATTCTAACATCTATTTTATTTCATCACATTCTCATCAGCCGACGAGGTAGCTCATGTGTCATGTCTGTCTTTTTAGGTTTTAAGTTTTTTTTTTAAATAAGTTTTATGTGACTATTATTTTCTCAATGTCACGTCTCATGGTCATAGTTGTTTTTTTTTTTTTTAAACAAAAATTGATCGGGGTTAAGGCATTAAAATACTTTTTTTTTTTACAAAGGGCCTTAAAATACATTAAACGTGATCAGGAAACAAACCAAAGGTTGAGAAAAAGAAAAGAAGAAAAAGAAGAAAAATAAAACAAACCAAAGAATTAGGATAAAAAAAGAAACCAATAAAACAGAGAATCTATATTCAGCCCACAATTTTTGAAACTGACCTGTTATAAATTTGTCCTTTAAGTGGTTTATTTATTGATATTGTTTACAGCTCAGCGCTTATTTTGCATTATCATTTACAGTGACTTGAAGCAGATTTTTTAGTGAGTGTCGGTGTTTATCTAATCTTCTTATAGTATTTGACGCTGGAGGAAAGCTAGATCTGTGGGGATCTGAATCTGCAATCACATCCATGGCTTCCAAGCTGGTAATCATCATAGTCTTCGTCTTTGACTTGATTGCTTTTGGGCTTGCTGTGGCAGCTGAGCAGAGAAGAAGCAAGGTGACATATTTTGATCACGCTGCTTTCTTCCTTTTTTCTTCCCTGCCTGATTCGTTTCTTTCTCCCTTCGAAATAAAAATCTGGGTCCATTTTCATTGATGATTTTTTTTCCTGGGTTTGTAAAATAGTATGGACTGTTTTGCTTGATTGCCGAGAAAAATGTAGAAGGAAATCGAGGAAACTTCATCCCGAATCTTCTCTCTTTCGTATTGATTAGATGAGGGGAAATTTGATGTTGGGAACGTAGTGTGGTTGAGTAGACGCTTCCAAGAATCTGTCATCTATTTGTGCGTTAACTCTCAGTTCTCGATGAAATATGATTTCTTTGACCACAGTTACATATAGATCTCCAGAATTTTCTTCATGCTTCTAGTCCTTCAGATTTGTTCATGTCTGTGTCTGTGTGTGTATCCGCCTGTATTCTAGAAGAAACGCTTTTGTACCCTAGAGGAAAAGGAAATGCTCTGTGATGTAAAACGTCACGTGTCTTTTCTTTACTCTCTGTCTCTGGGGATTTGTATGCTTGTGCACGAAATTGGTTCATTCTTACAGCGTCATTGAAGCCAAAGATCTAGTTTCTTAAATGTTGCACTCAATGCTTGTGATGCCGTAAATCGTGATGGTGACCTCAACTATTCCGGATAAACAGATTAATGTGATACTATGTCTGGCATGTCATTGATTGAGTTTCTTAGCTTTCAGTACAATGATATTTTTCTCTTCTTTCTTTTCGTGTTTGTCGGCAGGCCAAGGTCGTTCATGACCAGGATTACAATTATGATTACTGTCGCTATGATTCTGACATAGCAACTGGTTTTGGTGCGGGTGCTTTTCTGTTCCTTCTGATTAGCCAAATCTTCATAATGGTGGCAAGCCGTTGCTTCTGTTGTGGGAAGCCTCTGAGCCCCGGAGGTTCAAGGGCCTGTGCAATTATCCTTTTCTTAATCTGCTGGTATATGATCTTTCTTCACGAAAATTAGGAATACTAGTACTCATCTCATGTCTCAATCAAATTTAATTTAGAAAATTCAGACTTGTTCACATGAGTTATCTAATGTTTTCTGCTACTTTTTGTTGTATCGAACTGATTGTTCTTCTTTTGCAACTCTGTCTCAGGTTGTGTTTCTTCATAGCGGAGATATGCTTGTTGGCAGGATCAGTTAGGAATGCATATCACACAAGGTACAAGACTTTCTCGGACATCGACCCGATTTCTTGCGCAACACTTCGAAAGGGAGTTTTCGCTGCAGGTGCTGCTTTCATTTTCCTCACTGCCTTAGTCTCTGAGTTCTATTATATCAGCTATTCAAAGGCCAGGGACAGCTTCCAGCCTTATGCTGGCCGAGAGACTGGTGTGGGTATGGGAACCTACAAGTAAGCTCATTATGGATACAGCAATAGAGATGACACCCTTTCTGGATTTTAGACTCTGCGATATTTGTTTATTCGATTCCAAAAGTCAGCTGTGTTGAGGGTTTTAGTTTAGCTGGTGTACTTGAAAAGGCTTGTATTCTTATGTTGTCAATTATCGTTGTTATTGTTGTTGTTATTTTTGGCTTCTGAGGGCCTTTGTACCTCTCTTACATATGTTTTCCTTCTATGCCACATAAGAGAAATTTGTTCTTCAATATTCATTCCCTGTACAAGCATATACTATATTTATATATATGTATGTATGTATGTATGTATGTATGTATGTATGTATGTATGTATGGAGAGAGAAGGTAGTAGGGGCAAATATATATTAATGGAATTATTCCTAATAAATATTTTAATAATTTTACTTTTAATAAACACTTTATTCCATGCTAGCTCAACCTGGTTTGCCGGATATCACAGAGATCACAGGAATATTGCGGAGAGATTCTACGTATTGCAAAGGGTGAGTTGACTTGGTTTTTGGTTTTTTTTGATCAAACTGAAATGCAATCATAATCAGAATTACATCAAAGTCAACAAACTAAAGAGAGCTAAATCATTCATCATTCACCCCTTTTAGGTAATTAAGGTGGTGGGTAATCAAAGATGTAGAAGACACTCTTAGTAGAATGGGCTTACTTCACTAAGGAGTGGGCACTAATAAAAACATCCTTGTGAACAAAATTAATACTAACCAACCAGTCCCTATTAATTAAATTACATGCATTACAAATAATATTTAGGAAAGGGTGATCAACACTATGTCTGTGAGTGATAAGGTTGATTGCTTCAACACAATCAAAGTAAACTTCAATATACCTAAACCCTTTTGACCAGCAAAGATAAAGTCCTCTAGTAATCCTCATAATCTCTACAATAATAAGTGGTAGCTTTCCTAAATTACAGCAAAATCTGAAGATCTAGTTACCATCTTCGTTAACTGCTCTTCTGCCACAAGTAGCTAGACCATTAGCATTAACAAAACCATCCATATCAAGTCTGATGGAACCCTTATCCAAAGGGTGCCATTTGTAGGGTGTTTTATGTACGGTAAAATTCTTAAGCATATTAGAATCCATGACAGCCTTTATAATATACTTCCTAGAATCCATCTGCAAGATAGGTTCTTCATCTTCAAATAGACTTACACATCCAGTTGTCCATAGTTCCCAACATAAACATGTAAAGGTTGTCAACGAAGATACCTTATTTGCATAATCACATCCAGGGTCATTTATTGAATTCCATCTGATCCATTCCAAGCATTGTTGTTGCATGAAGCAGCTCTAATAATCTAGTTTTACAATCTTACACCAAGCATCTTGGGCAATTTTTCAATCTTGAACAATGTGCATCATTGTCTCTTCCTCATCGCATCCAAATACGTAGTAATTAGAATGCCCTGAGCCTCTTTTCTCCCTTATTTTTGTTGTGTGAAGTTTGTTTCTACCTAATAGCCAAAGAAAAATTTTCATTTTTTCTAAAGTGTTCCATCTCCAAATCTTGGTCTAGAGTTTGCCTCTAACAATACTAGTACCTGTAAAAAGAAGATCATAGGCAGACTTAATGTTAAAAGAGCCATCAGTGGATGGCTTCCTCACAAATTTTTGATCCCTCTCATGACACTTAGTGGGCTAGTGTTAGTGATTAACCTAATAGTGGAGAAACTAAGCTAATTCACCATATACTACATGTCCCACGTATCACTAGGGTGATGAAGTGTTCAATAGTAGAAACAATATCAACCAAAGGGCCATTAAGGGTTTGTTCATAACAGACCATTTGTCAAACTAGAATTTAAATAATTCCCCTGGAATGCAATGCTAGTCTAGACCTTTTAAGAATCTATCCCAAACCTTCACAATACTCTTCCAAGTCTTAAAAGAATACTTCCTCTTAGTAATTAATGGGAGTGCACTATCACCACACTCATATTTAGACCGAAGTGCTTTCAACCACAAAGCATCAGTATTAGATAACAAATTCCAACCCATTTTCAAGATGAACTCTTGATTTTGGGTCTAAAAATCCTCAACTCCTAAGCCACTTGTCTCCTTTTTGTTTTTAATGATGTCCCAAGATACAAGGTGTATTTTCCTCTCATTCTCATAACTTCCCCACAAAAAAGAGTTACTTTCTTTTTCAACATCCTATACTAGCTTTCTAGAAAGGGGCATAGTTTGCAAATGATAATTTGGCATGGTAGTGTGAACAAATTTAACAAGCACAAATCTACCAACAAAATTAAAAAGCTTACCTTTCCATCTTATGAGGTTGCTTTTCACTTTGCCCAAAATAGGTTTGAAATTCAAGTAAGAAGCTCAATTATAAAGTGAAAAAAATGCCAAGATACACCTACCTAGATCGCCAGTGAGGCCTACTCCCATTTGTTTACTTAGCTTCAGTGCTATAGAAATGTGAACATATTTGGAAAAACATATTTTGATCTTACTCTAACTTACCATCTATCTCGAAACTTTACAAAATCTCTCAAGGCAGTTATTAATGACTTCAACTTGATCAATATTGGCTTCACCAAATGGGAATAGGTCACTTGCAAAAAAAGAGGTGGGAGACTGGAGGCCCATTCTTTGTCAATTTAATTGGCTTCCAATTGTCTATAAGTATCTCATCTTTAATCATATGGCTGAGTTTTTCTCTACAAAGAATAAAAAGATAGGGACGGGCCCCTATCTAATTCCTCTTAAAGGTTTAAATTCTTCAATAGGGTTCCCATTTCGTAAAATTCTCGTTGTAGCACTTTCCATGCAAGAATGGATGAGGTCAATTATTTTACCTTCAAAACCCGCATCTTTTAAATAGTTCTTCACAAAACTCCACTCTAGACAATCATAAGCTTTCTCAAAATCCACCTTTATAGCAAACAACCCATTTTCTGACTTAATGTATCTCATGAAGTGCATAACTTCTTAGGTAATAAGTACATTGTCACTACCTTGTCTTCCCTTAATGAAACTACTCTGGTGGTGCCCAACTAATCTACTAATCATTTTCTTGATTCAGTTGGTCGACACCTTAAAAATAACTTTATAACTCACATTGCAAAGGGACATAAGTCTAAACTCGCTCATACATTTAAGTTTTTCCTTCAGCGAAATTAAAGCTCGATGAGTTTGGTTGAGTGATGTAAAATTGAGAGGGGAAGATAAATAAGAGAAAGAGGAGGAAGAGAGAAAGAAGGAGGGGGCCAAAACTCTTAGAAACTCTTATTCAATAATATTCAAAAGCTGTATATAAATGGAAAGCCTAGCTCTACTTATAGAACTTTAAAATAATAAAATTATAAAATAATAATAACAATAATTTAAATTCAAATCTCAAATCCTAAATCTAAATATAATCTTAAATATACTAATATCTAAGATAACAATAAAATAAATAATCAAAGCTAATCTAATGGATCAATATCCTTATTTAAATATCCCTATTAGATAACCCTAATATCTTAAATTAAACTTAATTATATTTTATCCCATATTACACCATTTCTCCCCCGCTTGAAAAACTCAACTCCTGACAAGTTAAAATTAAAGCACAAATTTGGGAAGAAAAGGGTGGGATAAATTTTAGCAGAGTGCTCAAATCTAAAAACCTTTTCTAACAAGTGAGATATTGAAAAAGAAAGCTCTAGTAAGGGTAAGCAACTTGATATAGGTGAGTATTTAGAAATTTCATCTAACAAGTTAGGTAACAAAAGAACAAACTTTGGCAAGAGTAAATAATTTGACCATGCAAAATCTTTGGAAAACCTTTCTAATGGATAGAGTATTGTTAGATTTAACCATCAAGTAATGGAGTGACTTTGGGAAATGCAACATGCAGACAAGGAATAGTTATAGCATGATGAGATTGATTCTTGCTAGAAACAATTTGAGAAGGAGCCACTTGTACTGGTGTATAATGGACAACTTAATCATTGTTCAGAGAATCTTCTACTAGCAAGGAAGGAGCTTCTACCATTGTTGGTTCGCTTGATGCTTGTTCTTCCATTTGTTTCGTCAATTGATTGATCATCCTCTTAATCTCATATGTTGCCTTCTTAATTTTACCACAATCCCTTATAAGCTTGTCAAACTAACAATTTTATTCTTGCTAAAAGCGATCCAGTTGAACTATAATTTGGTCTATGCCCTCCTAAAAGTCAACATATTAATAACAGCAACAGGTACCATTCTTACATTGATAAACATAATCATGTTGATGTCTATTAAGATGCTTATATTATTGTTGCCTAATGGACTCATGCCGGTATTAGTCTTCGTACTCATATTGCTTATGATTAGCATACTCCAATTGGAGATAACGACGCTCATAATTATCACAATAAGTATGCTCATATTATTGACTGGTTATGTGCTCATACTGTTGCTCTTTTTAACTATACCAATAGCTCTTTTTCCAATAAGTATCTTGCGATGGATAGGCATGCTATTGTTGATATTCATTAGATATGTATCGTTGAGCATAATTCTTTCATTGTTAAGCATATTATGGTAGATTAACATATTCATATTGATAATCTAAATATGTTTATATTATGTAGCTCATGTTGGCAACTAAGCATCATAACAATTTTTTTTCTTTTCTTCTTTCTTTTTTACTTTTCTCTTTTTTTTCTTCTTTTTTTTTTGAAATACAAAAATCTAGATCAATAAAAAAAATGAAAAATTACTTAAAATACTGCAAACATATGAAGAAATTGCAAACTTTCAAGATCTAATAGTGAACAAACTTGTGAAAGATGATGAAGGCATTTCAATCAATATTGTTGAAAAGTGAGTTCATTATACCTTATTTAGACATTTAAATTTTAATGGAAAAGTTATACTTTACAAGTGAGATTGGCAACAATAGTGTAATGGAAACCTAGCTCTGGTACCAAATTAATGTAAAACGGAAAAGGAAAGATAAATAAGAGAAAGAGGAGGAAGAGAGAATGAAGGAGGGGGCCAAAACTCTTATTTAATAATACTTAAAAACTGTATACAAATAAAAAAATTTAGCTCTACTTATAGAGCTCTAAAATAATAAAATAATAATAATTCAAATTCAAATTTCAAATCCTAAATCTAAATATAATTTTAAAAATACTAATATATAAGATAACAATAAAATAAATAATCAAAGCTAATCTAATGGATTAATATCCTTATTTAAATATTCCTATTGGATAACATTAATATCCTAA